TACCTGAAGCGGCATCTTTGACAGGGAAAAAAATGCAGAAGAAATTTCAACAGGAAAGGAAGCAAAAGGAAAGTCCTTCTGAACCTCATGGTGCCCCAGGCACAAAAGAGAATTTAGATGATGAAGGTTTTGTTGCACTTAGGCCTTCGCTTGGGATTCCCTAAATTAGGGCAGGGGGCTGACATAAAAAACTAAAAATCCCTTTTTTTTAAATTTTTTGATGGTTTTGGGTTTGGGGGGCGTAAAATATAAGACTAAGATGCTTGTTTTTTAAAATGCATGTGGTGGGTTGGGGTTGGGTGGCGTAAAATTTGACTGGAATTCCCCAGGGGCTGGCCCCCTTTTTTGCAAATGCCCCTTGGGTAGCTGCTTCCGAGCGCGGGGGGGCCCTTTGGGGGGTTTTCCCTTTTTCTTCCTCTCCGGGAAAATTTTTACTAATTTAAGATTTTTGTTACAAAATTAGCATTTTCGTGTTATTCGCCAGTGGGTATAGAGACATTGGAAGTTTGGGATAGGTTAGAGTGCGGGGAAAGTTTTTAGAGGAAAATAAAAAACGAGGGGCGGGGGATTTAGGGGGAAAGGAAAGTCTTCCTGGCGGGGCCACCGGTACTCGGGAGGGGTCGGGTCAGGTCCCCTCGGGTTTTTGCTGCTTTGGGGTTGAGAACAAAGCCAAAGAACCAATTTCGTTATATTTCCCCCTGACAACCGTTTTTTAACATCCGAACATAAGCATGAAACGTCAAGAAAAAAGTTTTAAACAAACATATTCCCTACCAACACCGGCTATCCGGGGCCAACTTGCCCCATTATCAAAGGTTTTTTAAAACCCAAAGGGAAAATTAAAACTTTGTGAAAGGAGGGCCCAAGGGAAAAACCGCCCCGTTAAAACCCCCTAAGAAAAAATTTGAAAAATATCAACAGACAGTCTGTAGGAACATTCCATCCATGTAGCAAATTTTATCGAGGAACAGATAACTAATCACAACGTTTTTGGTAAGAAATAGCTGTATCGGTACCTTCGTAGAGGATAATGGGACTTGCCGATAGCTTTCACATAAAGGGCTACCGTCGCATCTTTATAATAAGTTATTCTGTGACAGAAGGATCCGAGAAGAGAAGAAGAACACGCTGTTGGGTCATTACAGTAAGACATGCAGCCAGAACAACTATCCAAAACCAGGCGTTACGCAATGAAAAGATTCTCTGAAAGTGAAGAATTAAGAGGCTGCCCTAGAACAAATGGATTGATCACATTAAAGAGCTACTACATCGACAATGAATGACAATAGAGATCGCTGCCAATGGATCGCAAACTGTTCCTCCCCACGCTGCTTAACGGCAGAAGTCGAAATTGATGATGAAACGCAGAGAAGAATATTGTCCTGTAATGCCGTTAAAGCTAGTCGTTTTTTTCTGTTCCTCCCTGGAGGGAGTCCAGTCTAGTACACCCGGCTTTCAAGATCACATATCACTAATTCCGTCTGTTCAGAATCTGAAGAAATAGTCTATAAATGCAGCATGTAACTGGCCGACACTAAAGGGAAGCAACGCCGCAAGTCAACTTCCCGCCGACTAAGAGGAGATAAGAGTCTCCAGAAAACAGACGCGAAGTGAATGTCAATAAACAGTTTATTCGTTTAATTTTCGAGCATACAGGTTTTCATTAATTCTTTCAGTGAGTGCACATTTTTATATATTGTCATTAAACACTACAGATCTTTGTGATGTATGATTTTGAACTGCGTACATATATTAATAATCGCTCGGTTCAGCCAACAGCCACCTCAGCGCATTTGATTGTGATTGTGAGAGAAAACATTGAAGATAATTGACTGAGCGTCTGGAAACTTAACCGACCCAAAAACTATTAGTAAAACTAACTGCAGATTCAGATATCAGAATACCAATTTTTATTTTTTGGATATTTTAACTGTTTAAAGGTAAGGATTTAATGTAAGTTTTCAAATATTCTGGAAACGCTTTCGAATAACGGTTCTAAACTGAGTTTAAATTTAAAACTCGAGGCTAAGAAATTACCCTATCAGAGTATCAGGGTATCAGATGTCAGCTGATATAAACATATAAGCTATCTTCAGAATAACGGTCCCAAATTATCGAGGCAGAAAATATACCCTAACAGGGCCCCTGGATTGGGGCTAAACTAGAAGGCTGGGACTCACGAGCAGCAGCTACCGCATTTCCTGCAGCTGCCTTCATTTTATTTGCTCGTGAGTCCTAGCCATCTAGTTTAGCCCCAATCCACACAGCGTGAGCGGCGGGGGATACTCTCTGCGGTGGCGGAAGTCTGCAATTCTGCGGCGGCGGTATAGTCCCCGGAAGTACGCAGTTGACACGTGGCTGAGGCCCTGTTAGGGTATATTTTCTGCCTTGATAATTTGGGACCGTTATTTGGAAGATAGCCAAACATTCAAAATTGGTATAGGAAAATGTAAGAAAAAAAACGAGGTCAACAACTTACGGATAATTAACGCTTATATGTGAAAATTCTAGCTCGAAAGTTGTAATTAGTGTCAGAAAAATCTGCTTTTTGTGACCGTGGCGCCATTGGAACTCCGCTAAATAAGTGCTTAACATGGCACGACTAGTGCCACCTTGGTAACTTAGCTTTTGCTTTAGTAGCACCCATAAACCTTCAATTGTTTGCTACAACACAGAGCAAATAAACAACTGCTTTTCTTCCCTTTGACCAAGAGAACAGAAGTTTTGTTGGCACACCCACAGAATGCAAAGTGATGTCTTCACAGGTTGTGTAAATGTTACTATACCTACCATTTCTTCACACCATTCAGTTCCCGCCAGTACTGAAGCTGTTATATTGGCCACCACCCAAATATGTCATCACCAGTAAAATTAGAAAAAAAAACATGCTTTCTTGGGGCAACAAAGTTAATTTTGTTAAAGTAAATATAGACCTCACCATATGCAAACAAAACTAATATACAGTTTTTAAATATGTATTTTAGCCTCATTAAATCAACCCTTGAAGATGCCGTCCGGACGCCCATCACGGCGTGCCAAGCAGCAGGCTGTTGTGGAAATGGAAGAACCAGAGCAGCCATCAGAACCATCAGTGTAAGAATAACCACTAACTTGTTACCTCACATTGTGTTATTTAAGTACAACGGCTGCATAGCTTTCACATGCGATGCCTAAAAAGAATATTTAGTATAAACTCTTTGAGTCCCAGGGGGCTTAGCATCAGAGGCCCAAGGGGTAGTCAAGAGAGATGTAAAATCGGCGCATCTTGCATTCATTGATCCCCTAGGCGGTATCGTATGATGCGTTCCTTGGGACTCAAAGAGTTAAGTGGCAGGACAAGGTCACAAACACTGAGTTATTAGGCAGTAAATGTACTCTTTAAAAATTAATGTGGTTTTTTTTCTCTTAAATCTTTATACTTATGAAACAGAACAAGCATTAATATTTTTAACTCTGTGTAATCATATATACTCATCATAGAAAATTAAAAAAACAGGGAAGGGGCTCCCATTGTGTGTGTGTGGGAGGGTTGGACAAGAATAGACCCACTGCCTCCCAGAAAGCATGTCGCAACAGTCTACTAATTGTGGGTTTTCTTCTGAAGTTGGAGTACATCTTCCTGAAAGGCGGGCAACCAAGAGTCTGCATACAAGTAACCCAGATGTGTGAAACAGATATGCACGCAACTCAGGTTCTGGAACATGTCTAAAGTCTGGAGGTGGACGAACACCCAGAGCTGGTAAATGCGAAGAAGAGAAAGGCCTCAGCTTGAGTAGTGAGAAAACAGAAGTAGTAGTAGAATCAAAGAAATGAGTCATTCATAGAAAGTTAATTGTATTAATTTGGTGGCTGGTAATCTGTACCTTTGATTGTCAGTTATAGCTGTTGGGACAGATGAGTCCTCCACTGTGGTCACATGCAAAACAGACTACTAGCTCTTGTCTATGTGTGTTATCTGAGCCGTTTTTATCACTCTTTTGTGTGTTTCTAGTTTTTTCAGCTAAGTTTGCCACACGCCTACAACTGCTGGATGCAGTTGGGAGTGTTCCTTCTTTGAGCTGAGTCCAAGGCAGAATTTCTCATGCTTTCTAATTTTTTAAAGGATTTGTAGAATTATAGTGAATTATTTACATAGATGAAGTGTATGGATTTTTTTTACATTAGTCTAGTGTTAATGGCTGACTAGGGTTATAATGCTGTAGCTGCACTGAAGGTTTAGTTACTGTGATTTGTTATTGGCTGTTTATTGGAATTGTAATGATTTATTTTCAGTGATTTTTTGTTTTACATGCAGAGAGAATATAGTGAATTATTTACATTGATATAGTTTTGGTGGCCCAATTTTGTGAATGCTGCTATTGAAAACATTGTATTTTCTCAAAATGTTTTTATTTCTTTTTCCTCAAAGCCTAGAAAATGACTCTGACAGTGACTTTGAAGAACCAAAAACTAGAGGCAAGAGAAAGAAGAAAGATGATTCAACACAGGTAAGAATATAGATTACATCATTTATACCACTTAAATGGCTTATCAGGTATGTTGTTTTGATTTTGTCCCCAGTTATTTCTGTTCTTGTAGTTTTGTTTCCTATTGTTTTTGAGTATTGATGCTAGACACAGGACATTTTTTAGACATGCATTGTTGTTCTTACCTCACTTTTTATCTTTTTTCTTGCTGCACTGTACACATTGCCTGTGACTGTACCAACATAATCAACTAAATGTTCTGCCACAACAAGTCTGTCAGACAAGGCTGGCTTTCTGCCTGGTCTGCGAGCCACAGCAATGATCATGTATGTTGGAACTTCATGACCTGAGAGCGCAATTAGTTGCTGGATGAGCTCGTGTTTGAAATGTGCGATAGTCATTCGCTTGGGGGGCAGCATGATGGGATAACATGTACAAGATGTGAGCATTGATCTGCATCACTTCCATTATCTATGTGAAAACCTTTTTCCTCCTCTTGTTAGTTTTGCAAGTGTGGTTACCATAATACGAGACCATTTGATCCACACGATCACAGCAATTTATACTCACATTGAAAGAGTGAATGGGAGCTAGGTTTCTGAACCTTTCGTCTCCCTTCCTGGCGTTCCTCAAATGTGGAAGTTCCATTTGTGGTCAGTAGGATGCAGTGTTTTTTAAAATTTTTTTAATCCCTTCAGGAAACGCTAAGGATGTTCCGCTCATTATTAACTAACCATCTTGGAGTTCCAAAGATGGTTGGTTGTTGTTTTAGCTGCTGCGGTTTTGATTCACCGTGCCAGTAAAATTCAATTTCTTAGATAAAAGAAATTGTATGAGAGGGAGTGATGTAAAAATCATTCTGCAAATAGATAGTGGCAGCTTGCAAGCAACACCCTGCAGTAAGATTGAAAATACTTTCACAGCTTGAGTTGCTGCTGGATCAAGCTCAGGATTTTTGGCAGTTTTTGCTCCAAAGTCAATTAGCAGATTGTAAACATAGCCAGCGACTGAATCCCAATGACCAAATGTCTTTATATGATACTTGTGAGGCTTGGCTGCATTGTACTGTTTAGCATGAAACCTGCCCTTAAAAGCAATCACCATCTCATCAACAGAAAGCTTTCCAAATGGGTAAAATGTCGACTGACACTGTGCTACTAGATTATTCACAAATGGCTCAATCTTTGCTTGGCCTTGTGCGTTGGGTTCTGATACATGCAGCATTGACTGGTAAACAAGCAAGAACTTAGTTCTTGGAAACATTACCTTGAACTATGGTGTGAATTTGTGGTTCGCTGTAGACCATTAATCTTTGATGTTGTGTTTCCGTGTAATTCCCATTGCTATCACTACACTGAGAAACTGAAAAACAATTTCTCTGGTCATTGGCTGCCACTCAGACAATGTAGATCTTTTTCTAAATGGTATATTTTTCTTTAGTTTTTCCACTGCATAAAGATTTATGTTTTCAACAAGACTATCAATGATATCAGTCGTTTGCAGTGTGAATAAGCAGTCCATTGGTGTTGAATTTTCATTCAGTGGTGCCTGAATTCCAGACACAACTGATCAAAACAGGGACGATCTGATCGAAACATCTTCTTCAACTTCATCTCAAACCATATCGTCAGCAACAGTACTGTCCATGCATTATTGTTATTCATAAGGTCAACACTATTGTTGTCACTATCTGGCTCAGATTCATCGACAGCAGCAGCAGTATGGGCAATTCTGTGGGCTGTGATATTGTTCTGCTTTCCCTTACCCTTGCTAATTAGTTTGGCGTGTTTTGCAGCGGGTGGCTGATATTCTCAATCATCGTCATCTACATCATTGTCGGATAATTCTGAATCTTAAGTTATCATCACCACTAGAATTATCTTCTTCATCTAACAACCGCTGCATAAGATCTAAAGCATGTGCATTTTTGTCATTCTTTGAGCTCTATCTGCAGTGGATATTAAAGGATTGAAAGCTGCAATTTCAGGAAAACCACACAACAAAATTGTATCGCACAGAATAAATCTAAAACAAATCAGAAAATAATGCACCGACTACCATAAACTTCGCAAACAAAAGGACTTCCTGTTGTTAATCCTAATTTTTCAAACAAAAACACACACAAAAAAGTTTGCTTTCCCCACAAATGGAACAAAATGAGAGTGTCTGTCTGATACGCCAGTATACTGTCCGATAGGGATAACTTCATAAGCCAGTTAACTGTCGACCCATCTTCAAAGAGTTAATCTTTGTCGAAGTGATGTAATTGTACTAGTTGGTAACATGAAGTTTTTTCAGTCAGACAGATCTGTAAATTGTTTTGTGGCCTATTGGTCAGGCATTTTAATTGTGTTTACCTGTTGTACAGGCTGCCAAGCGTAAGAGGGTAGACTCTCATGCAAAAGCCAGACGTGCCCAGCAGGACAGCCTGTTGCTGGGAGATGGAAGTCTCTTTGAGACGGTCAAGGCTGGGAAAGCATCACTACAAGCAAGTCTTCTTTTTGTTCGTCCATGTGACGTAATTGCGTTGTGCCTGTATACAACACAGGGGTTCCCCCTGTTTTATTTATGTGTAACACACAGTGGAACCTACCAATCAGATCTCTTTCTTAAATGTTTGTTGCATTCAAGACAAAGCATTACAGTCTGCTGTGGTTGTAAAATGTTGTTCGGTTCGTTATTCAACCTCTCTTCTTCTTCGGCCTTTCTAGCCCCCAATGGAGCATAGGCCCCCAACCAACTCACGCCAAGTTATTCTATCTTTTGCTATCGCATGCAGCTCTCCCCATGTCCTCTTCATCTTTCTAACTTCATTCTCTAGCTCCCTTCTCCGTGTATTTTTTGGCCTTCCTTTATTCCTTTGCCTCTGTGTGTTCCAGTGCAAAGACATTCTAGTTATATTGTTCTCAGGTGTTCTCAGTTTGTGTCCTATCCAACACCAACATCTTTTCTTCATCTCTTGGTCCACTAGAGCTTGCTTAGTTCTCTCCTAAAGCTCTACATTAGTAATTCTATCATACCATTGAATTTCCTCTATTCTGCGCAGACACCAGTTAATGAATGTGTAGTTTATTAGTAATTGCCTTACTTGTTCTCAATGGTTACGCCCCAATACAAAAACACTAATCATTAAATTCCTTTTGACCTCCACAAATTCCCTAGTGCTATGAAAGCTCCTCTTGCCTTTTGTATTCTCAATTTAATATCTCTATCAGTTTCCCCATCTCTATCTACATTACTGCCCAAAAAGGTGTACGACTCCACGTCTTGGAGTGGGGTGTCATTAAGAGAAACAACATTACTATTTGTCTGATTTATTCTCATTATCTTTGTCTTTCCTTTATGGATTTTCAGACCAAGCTGCTGTGATCTCACATCTAGTATATATAATTTATCTTGCATCTGATTCCGTGAATGGGACAGAAGAGAAATATCATCAGCGAAGTCCAGATCATCAAGCTGTTTTGTAGGGGTCCACTGAATTCCATTCTTGGTGTTCATAATCCAGTCTATAGCCAGTAAAAAATACGTGAGGTGACAAAAGACATCCCTGTCGCACACCTGCTGTTTTTTTTTAAATGTATCTGTTAGCTTTCGCTCATGAAGAACTCAACATTTCATGTCTTTGTATGTTGCCTTTACTAAGTTAATAATTTTCTATAGGATTCCATAGTGCCCCATCAATTTCCAGAGATTCCCTATCTATGTTGTCTAATGCTTTTTCATAGTCTATGAATCCAGTGTAAAGTGGTGAGCTCAATTCAATGCTTTTCTCTGTTATTATACATAATGTGGCCATCTGGTCAGTACAGGATCTGTTTGGCCGAAAACCTACCTGTTCATCTCTTAGCTTTTTATCAATAGCATTTTTTAATCTTTCTAGAATGATTCTACTTAATATTTCTTCCAGGAACTGACAGCAACATAATTCCTCTATAGTTTTCACACTCCTTTAAATCACCTTTTTTGTGCAGTTGCACAAGATATTCTTCTCTCCAGTCAGCTAGTATTTCTTCGGTCTCGCAGACTTACTAAATAATCAATGTAGCAATTCCATTGATGTGTTTGTGTTGGCCCTGAAAGCTTCTGCTGGGATACCATCTGGACCTGCTGCCTTTCCTTTCTTGGGAAGATTGATAGCTTTTCTTATTTCCTTTTTATATGGTATCTCATAGTTAGTATCCAGTTTCATATCTAAAGGCTGGATATCTGGAGGAACCTCTGGGCCTGGTCTATTTAGAAGTATTTTAAAATATTCAGCCCATCTTTCCATTTGATCTTTAGTGTTAGTAAGTACCTTTCCTTGACTATTTTTGATTGATCCAATTGGCTGACTATGTTTAACTACCAATTTTCTTGTGTTACTCTAAAGGTCTCTGGGGTTTCCTTTTGCTGCTGCTGTCTCCGCTTTTTGTGCTAGATCATTTAAATATTTCACTTAATCTGCCCTTTTACGCCTCCTAACTTCCTTATTGGCTTCTGTGTATTTATCCTGAGCTCTAGCTTTAGCAGCTCTAGTTTTGCTGTTGTTTAAGTCTGCCTTTTCAATTTTCCTTTCTTTAATCAATTTATGGTTTCTGCTGTTATCCTCGCTTTATGTTTCCGTTCTTTCTTACCAAGATTCATTACAGATTCCCTTGATCTGATCCCAGCAGACTTCTGTGCTGACATCTTCAGCTAACTGCTGCAACACCTGATACTTATTAGAGACAGTAACTGAAAACTGTTCCTTAACTTCTTTATCCCTGAGATAACCTACATTATACTGCTTTCTATGATTATAAGAAATGTGTCTTTTAAGTTTCAACTTGATTTTACTTACCACCAGGAAATGGTCAGTAAATACATCGGCACATCATAAAGGGATTATCTAAACTTTTTGTTAATTAGGTGATCAGTTTGATTGGCTGTCTTATGGTCTGATGATTTCCACGTTGCCTTATGTATTCTTTTATGGAGAAAAATACGTCCACCAGTAATAACATTCTGGTTTCCTGCACACAAATTTGTGAATAATTCTCCATTTTCGTTCATTACCCCTAGACCATGTCTTCCCAAAATCTCTTCTCAATTCAACCTGTGCTGGGTTAATATAAATTTCTGTAACCTATGCTGCCGTACAGTGGTTTGAGTTGAATTCTGTCCGTTTTCATTAGTTGTGGATTTCAGGCTGTGTGATAGACATAGCCAGTGTAGACACCTTTTTGAGGCTGCCCAGTTAGTCATGTATCTTAGTACACTTGTTTCCATAGCGAGGTGCACATGTAATTTAGAGGTGATGGGTTTGATTCCCAGCGTGATAACTATAGCTTTGGACTTTTATGTTGTCTAGTGTGTCCTTCTATCATTCTACTTCTTTCTGTGAGTGTCAATCAGTACATTTTCTATTTCTTATATATATATATATATAATCATATATATATATATATATGTATATGTAAAGTGGTTTTATGACCTCAAGGATCATAAAAGAGTTCATTTATTCTGTTTACAGCAAAGCTGCAATATTTATGCCCTTTGGCCGACACATCCGATATCGTCTAGCATTTGTTGGCTAGGTTCTTTTCCTGGATAATTTCTTGGGACATGACGATGCCTTTTTTGTGTTGTGTTCTCTTTGTACCCCTATCTACAGATGTTGTCCCTGGAGAACCCGTCCAGGGCAATAGCGTGTAGATTGGTGGGACTTCATGTGGTGTTATATGCAATCCGTGAAGATGGATCAAATATCTGGTGAAGTGTCTAGGGTGTGATGATTATGATTTGCCCACATATCTAAAAGTTTTTCACTCCACAACGTACTACAAACATCAGAACCATAGTGTCAATACCATTACATTATAAGTCATCTCTGTAATAGTGTCTCGGTCTCTTTATTATGGACGAAACACATTACGATGAAAATGCTTGGTGATCGATGACACAGTGTCAACTGTCTTCCCAAATATTCGCATCGGCAGTCACTTCAGCGAACTATGTCCCAGGTGCTTGCTACGGGCAACTCACAACACCCGACAACGCAGATACACCTATGTGATGTAGAGTAACAATCCTCTGACGGTGCTGCCTTAAAGGCCCTATCACTAAGGACTTAGGATAGATGCACCTCTTACATTACACCAGGTTTCTGGCACCTTCTGTGCCCTTACAGATACCCCTGAACCACGTGTCCATAGCTTCAACAGTACTGACCCCACAAACATATGGGCTGCACAAACGTCCATTCTGGAAATTGCACAGACAGAATAATTTCTAAGCCTGTCTCACGATCCACAAAACTCATTAGACAATTCATGTGAACTCAACAGAATAAACGCACCTTGTTAAAACACACTGGGCTGGAACAAAACAAGCTCAACACATCCACACACTAAGTCTGCTCTAGAGGCACTGACTAAATCAAACTACCCCAGGACTCTTCCCACACGTAGCTGTCTGTGATTCTCACATTCTCGCCAACCCTCGGGGTTTACGTTCACGATCCCTGTGGAGACCACTGTTAGATGGTAATCCCTAGAAAGCATCAAGTAGCATGGACTTTTTGCACTCATCTCTGTCATCATCATCAGCCAGCGCCTTGATGACGTCTCCGATCTCTGGTACAGTTTACAGCAAAGTGAGTTTAGCACATGACAGAAGTCAGGGGCAGTTCTTGAGTGTTCCCTGCCTTCCAAAGAGGCTTCCATAAATGCACAGCCGACACAAGGACATTCTGGTCCTGGGCTCACCCAAGGAATTGTTATGTCATGCTTAACCTGAGATGCGTATGTTGAGCTTCCCTCCCATCACAAACTGCACCCTCCGGGGATCAGCAGGGAGCAGCCTGCAGATCTGGAACTTTGATGACCACACAAATAGGTACATTCTTCTACAGCACGTTCTACACCTGTAACATTGTTTTATCTGGACACTTAACTTGACAGCATGGAACAGCATGCATCAGGCATAGTGTCCCCTATTTGGTCCCGACACTGTGGTTAGTGGGGCCAGTGGTAATGGACATTTGACGGTTGGATATTTGAGGCTTTGTTGTTATGCCATAGGTCATTTATTTGATGGACATTTTAACCTAACTGTACTGCTTCTTTTGGCCCCCATTCTGTACGATGGCTTGGTCCCCATTCTATACGGCTCTTATTTGTCTCCATTACTGTACGGTGATATTCTGTTCATAAATTAGGCCGTGAGGTGTAGTCCCGGATCCATGCCGTACAAATTCCAAGTAAACTATTTGCTAGGGGTAACCAATGATAAAGACCAACGGCGGGCAGAAAAACGCCGTAACAAAGTCAACCGTTGAAACTGCTACAAACACGTCGTTGACAGGCAAATCAAAGACATTTATTTGAACAATTTCTTAAAGAAGTAAATGGCGTCAATGAAATGCATACATTACAGTCACTGTATCAAACGACGGTTAGCTAATTACTTTCCTCCAATCCGGAGCAATGAGTCTGAGCTCCCCGCAAACTGCGGCATCAGGTAGAATATCTCCTTTTACCTCCAAGGCAGAGCAATGAGCCTAAGCTTCCCGCAAACTGCGGCATCAAGTAGAAGAACTCCTTTCACCTCTAAGCCAGAGTACAGAGCCTAAGCTCCCCGCCAACTGCTGCATCAAGTAGAATACAGCTAAGCCTACTTTCCAACCTCTGCCATTAACACATTTCTTGCAAAGGTCATCTGTCTAAAAATTTATGTCGGCAAGTGACGTCGTGTCCTCGTCATACCTCATGTTCATTATTGGTTGCCCGTAGTGTGGATCTTCCAATCGCACACAACACTAACCAGCTGTTTGACTAGATTGTTAGGTTAGGCATTGTGATGGGGATGCTGAGTATCCACAATAGATGTATGGAGACAACTGTAACCCGAAATACCACCCACTGGAGATGTTACTAGTTTAAGCTGCAAGTCAATCTCTTGGTCTAGGGCTGAGCCTCAGCCGTTTAGTAGTTCTTTCACTCGTCAGACGTTTTTAACCATGAGTTATCATTTGGTAGTACCTTCAGACAGCAGACTTTACTCATGTTCCAAATGAGTTTTGATAGAATTATTTTGTTGAAGCCTGATCTGTAAAAATGGATGTGCACGCAAAATTCAAGTTCTTTCACAAGCCAAAAGTGGACGACCACATGCCTTTTCCTCACCCCACCACCACACATACAATGGTCCCCAGAACCCACATGTGGATATTTCATGCTCTGACTTTTCTTAACTGTAACCTATTTTTTAAAATAAAAACTTGCACTAGACATTATTTAGATCTCCACTTAGTGTTAAATAGGTCACAATTAAGTGTTAAATGAACCTAATTATTTGTATTCCATCGTGATCAGGCTGTTGTTGATGATTGGATTGAAGGCTACAAACTGGATAGGAATGCTGCTCTGCTGGAACTTATCCAGTTCTTTATCCAGTGCTCTGGATGTAAAGGAAAGATAACTCCGCATATGTATGCTAACATGGAACATGCAGAGATCATCCGTAAGATGACAGAGGAGTTTGATGAGGTATATTATTGTTAATTTTCTTCTAAGCCTTCAATTTGTGGAGTGGCAATGGATTTGTGAAGCTCCTAATAAAAAAAAAGTTGTAATTGCAGCAGATGTTTAAACCTATTTTGTCATAGTGGCTTAAAGGTTAGAGAATGCATTTCACATTTTTATGATCCTCGCTGTACCGTGGTTGATTTTTTGTTGTTGATGATGGTTTCTTTGAAAAACAAACAAAACTGTTCTTGGCTTTCAGAAAATGGTTTGAGAGTTGTGCCATTGACCACAAAATATTCCCAAGGGGAATAGTTGGCGCAAGGGAATAGTTGGTGCAAGGTAGTCAGCTTTCCTTGTGGAGATGGCACACCATTTTTGTTTGTTTGGGTGGTCATGATATAATATTTTGTCACGGCAACGGTCATTATGGACCTATTTTAATGCAACAGCAGATCTAAAAACCTTATTTTGCAGTGTCCGTATTGACGCAGGACTTCTTAGATCAGTGGCTTTGATTTGTAATTTTTTTTCTCTGACCAGCAGACTCCTTGGTGACCTGGCGGCGTAAAATTGGGTATCAGATGATTTTCATAATTTAATGGAAGTTGCCCGAGAAGGCAAGCTGGAAAGGAAGGTAACTGCCTGCCCCATCTCATGTCATGGCCTAGAATAGGGGAAGTCAACTAAGTTTACTTAGGGGCCAACATTTTGAAAATGGTGATTGTCAGAGGCCAGGGCGCCCTCATAGAAAGATCACTAATACAGTATGAGTAGCAATGATCTGCGGGCCACTTGCTAGGTCTCAGCGGGCCGTCAGTTAAATAAAATAGCCCTGGCCTAGAATATGAAAGTATAACACGTCACACCCCATGAGAGTGTCTTTATCAGATTATCAATCTGTGAGTTCCTGCTTCACGACAAACGGGTCCCACAATGACTGTTCCGTTTCTTTGCCAGTGGAAATCACACAGAATGCCTGTCGCTGTCCCATGTAAATATCAAACAGACAGCAGTCGCAGCAGACCTGGTGTTAATAAAGTCAAAAACAGCCATCAAATGCTGGGTTTGGTTCTGCAACATCCTGTAAAGGATACACTACTAACATTTATCAGTTGTCCCATCCAGTTTGCCTCTGGGGGGTTGAACCCGCAACCTTTCATTGAATTACTGGAGAGAACAGGGTTCACCACTTGAAGGTAAGGTAGGATTGAGGAGAAGAAACTATGAAACACTGAGAGTCTCGTATTGCATATCATTACTCCATTAGAGTCCCTGTTTACCTTGATGTTGCAGGAAAGTGGTGACTACCCTCTCATCATGACTGGCCCCCAGTGGAAGAAGTTCAAATCCTCGTATTGTGAGTTTGTGCAGGTTCTGGTCCGACAGTGTCAGTACAGCATCATCTATGACCAGTACATGATGGACAATGTCATTTCTTTGCTGACCGGTTTGACCGACTCTCAGGTGCGAGCTTTTCGACACACCAGCACCCTTGCAGGTTTGTGATGATTGACAGTTTAGGAAAATATTTTTGTACCAATGGTCTTCTTCGTGTTTACCAGCTCTTAATTGTGGCACAGAGTCCTGATTTTTGGTCCACTTCTGCACTTTAGTCTTCTTCTTCTTCTGCGTTCATCCGAAGATGTATTTGCGCTGTGTCCGTTTACTACATGGCTGCGAGATTTGCACCTTTCGGCCAACACATCTGACTTATGCATGCATTTGTTGACCGGGTTAGCCTTCCCGGGGACTTTAATCTTTTTCCAGAGCTTGAGTATTTTATGCACATTCATTTTACAAATCTGGCTCATATATGTGCAGACTGTTGGTTCCTTCTTGGCTCTCAAGCAGATGTTCTCTGACTGTCCCGTTGTGCCATTATGTGTCACACAGTCTTTTCCTCCATTCCATTCTATCGTGTGCAGTCAGTTCAATAGCATGGATGCAATCCAGTCCAGCAGCTTTGGCCTCTCTCATTAGTGTTCGTTTTAGGGTGTCTTTTAGGCATCCTCGCCCTCCTTAAACCCTTTATTTCCCATTTTAGTGCCTGCTTGGTGACTCTCTGCTCTTTTCTTTTCAGAATGTGTCCACTATAGCGGCTTCTTCTCCGTCTCATAACCGTTGGTACTAATGGTTACCCAGACATTTCTTTTTATTTCTTCATCCAATTTTATATTCATTTGTTTCAAATACATTTAAACTTTTGTTCCATGTCTTCTGTGGTTCTCCAGCTTTCTTTGACATTTGTTAACATTGAAGTAACATTAGAATTGAAAATACATAACTGGGTTTTAAATAATACAGTTTAGAGTTCCATATTTCTGTTTAGGCCTTTACAAACTTCTGATGCCTTGCCTATTTCTTTCTTTGCATTTTCTTCACTATTAAAATTACTACACGAATAAGTAAACTGATCTGTTACTTCAATTCCTTTTATCTCCAGCGTAACATCTCCTTGATCTGTTCTTGGTATCTTCAACATATTTGTCATTTCATAACTTATTTGTAGTCCAGCCTTTGATGGTAAATCATTTGAAGGAAGTATCAGGAGTAAAAATTTGTTTTCTTTATTGATGTTTGACAATTTTCAGGGGAAAAAATGTGTTTTCTGTGTGGACGTTTGACAATTTGTACAAAAACAACGTTGGCATGTCTAGCTAGGGATGCAGGAACCTAAGAGCTCAGGAACTTTGAGGCCACCTCTTCCCTATTTTGTTAGGTATGGGCTGAATCTTCTTGCCGCCCCTTCTATCAAATTTGCAAGGAAGCTAATTGCACCCTCCTCCCTCCCCCGAACCATGTACAGTGTGATGTTTAAGTATTTATTTATGTGTTTCATTTTCTGTGTCAAATACATGACCAACATGCAACAAGTGTGCTAGCCTCTGCAGTATTGTGGCTCCCTATGCATAGGTGGTTCAGTTTTTGTGTGTGCCTGGGTCACAGTTTTCTTCTTTACTTTTGTCATTATCTGCTTTGTGCTACTGGACACTGCTGTTTAACAGATAGGTAGCTGAACTAAGGTACACTGGGTTGTGCTGTGATGTGAAGTGTTAGTGATCATTGACTTCTTCGATCCATGATCTTCTAGGTTTCCCTCTACCTCTTGGTTTTTCCTTTTTGCAAAATTATATTTAAATATTTACAGCAATGAAACTGATGACAGCCTTGGTGGATGTGGCCTTGAACTTAAGTATCAACCTGGATAACACCCAGAGGCAGTACGAATCCGAGCGAGCCAAACAACAGAGCAAGAGAGCTGGAGACCGTCTGGACTTGCTGATGCAGAAACGACAAGAGGTCGGGCAGAGTTGTGTTCCCATAGAAATATGCGTACAGTTTATGTGTTATTCTTCCTTCTTTTAATCCTCAGTTTAACACAGTCCTTCAGACAGTTCGCTCTGTCATCTTTTGCCACCTTCTGCAGCTCAATCCATGAGCTCACCATCTTTTTTGCCTCATTCTCTCGACTTGTATTTGGTCAATCTTTATTCCTTTAACTCTGAGTGTCCTCGTACAAGGATATTACAGTTGTCTTGTTATCATGTTTTCTCAGTTTATATCCCAGTGTCTGTTTTTCACCTCATGAACTTTACATATTACACTCACACAAATGTATTTGTGTAGCATTTTCCTATTTATGTTTTTCATTTATCTTGTCCCAAGCAATGTACCTGTGTGATTGGCTGTTTTTCATGAATTCTGATCAGTTTGCCATGTGGGCTTGTACTGTTAGGAAAATTTAGAACGGTCAGAACATTCTAAAGAAATCTAAGGACAAGTTTGTTTTATAAGAGTTGTCATTTTAACTTTGAAGTAATAATAGACAGAATGAAGATACAAATTATTTCTGAACTAATGAAAAGTGATGTCCACTTGGAGTCATCAAATGAACAGAGAAGACCAATCACAGGTGAATGAAGGCAGGTGATATCTGTGGCAGTAAGGCTATAAATATGGATTTTAAAAGTAATTTGGAATACACCCACTGTTATAAATATCATTTAAAAGTTAGTTATTATTTCAAATTATTTCAGTGGCTCAGAAGGTTGAAGAAAAGTAATGTTCACTGACAAAACTACATACAAAGATTACAATCTTTGAAAAAGATATACTAGGAAGTATATTCTCGGAAGACAGGAGAATAAATTGGAAAATAGAAACAACGAGCCAGTACCAACGGGCACCGTTATTAAGATACCCGTAACATAAATATGACTGCCACTAAACATATTGTGAACACGTATTCATCCAGTGCACTTATATACCAACTGACACTGAACAGTGTGCCTTAAGTTGTCTGTGGTTATTCTGATGGTTGTGTTGTAATATTACAGTTGGAAGAAAACCAGGCTGAGATTCGGAACATGTTAACTTACATCTTCAAGGGTGTGTTTGTTCATAGATACAGGTTTGAACTCTTGACGTCATGTTTTCTGTTCATTGTTTATCAGATAGAACCCCGTTAGTATTAGTTTAACCCCATCACATGCAGTTGTTAGTTTAATCTCATTAAACTCCATTAATGCAGCTGTTAATTTGACCTTATGAGCAGATAGTTTAACTTGATTGTGAGTAGTTGTTAGTTTAACCTCATTCCAGCTGCGTTCAAGTGAATCAGATCTGTAAAACTGATGCACATGCAACACTCAGGTTCCGGAGCAGGACTGCAGTCCAGGTGTGGACGAACAACCAGAACTTTCCGCCAGAGTGTACAGCTGGTGAACGCGAAGAAGAAGAAGAAGTTTAACCTAATTCTAGACATGTGATATTTCAACATCGTTATTGAGCCGTTGTTAGTTTCTTTGCACTTTATGCATTTTTGTTAGTTTAACACTTTGATGGTCAGCAGTCCGGTGTATTACTGTCTCCCATTACCAAGGGTGTTTGCAGATAAAAAAAAAAAATTGGTTTTCTAATAAAAATCATTAAAAAAAAATCAAAAACGAGCGTAGGGTTTTGTAACCTTTAGAGCACCATTATGAATGGTTGCTAGAACCAAAAAATATTATGCAAAAAGGTCACATGTTTATGGTGGCCATGTTGAATATGTTGACTATAGAAAACTTGGTACGGCCGTCTGCTTGCATTCTACATGCCATTTTTACCGATTGTCAGACCTGGTCACCATGGTAAATGACCAGAAATTCATAGATTGTTGAGTTGAGTCAAGAATTGACATCACAGCATTCAGGGCATTCATATGGGTGCTCCATCCTCATTTTCAGCTGCCAGGGCAGAGGAAAGTGTTTAAAAGCACAGAAACCAGATTATTAGCCATTTGCCCGATAAGAAAAACCAGTTGGATGAAGTGAAGTTGATCCCCATGTCTGTGTGTCTCCAGATAGTTAGGATGTATAAGTTTTGACTTCTGTCTACTTGTCCCTTAATATTGCAGAGACACACAGCCAGAGATCCGCTCTATCTGCATGGCAGAGATCGGTGTGTGGATGAAGAAATACCCCAATATGTTTCTGGATGATAGTTACCTGAAGTATGTCGGCTGGACATTGTATGACAAGGTAAGCAATTAGTTCTTTCTTCTTTGCCTGTCTTTCTCAGTTTGTCACTCTCATATTCCTCCTGTGCCTGTCTTCCTCAGTCTGTCACACTTATCTTTCTCCCTGTATGGGTTCTGGATACCCTTGGGGGGGGGGGGGGATAAACTGACTGCCTCCTAGCAAGCTTGTCGTTAGAGGCGACTACTTAAAGGTTTGCTAAAACTGGAGGTGTTCAACCATGAGGCGTAGATATCACAGCCTAGCTGTAAACCACAACACTGTGTGCCAGCCACCCTTTTAAAGGGTGAACGCAAAAGAAATGCACTAACATATCTCTCACACGATAGTTTAGAGCATTATTCTTGGCTTCCATTAGAGGGCGCCGGTACTGCAGCAGCTGACAGTTTTGTTTCTGCTGAGGTCAGAACTGACATCATATCACTCGGGACATTTCTATAATCGCTCATCCACATTTGCTTCCAGCGAAGAGTTCCTATTCTGCTGATGCCAGTAGCATTTTGATTTGTCCGTCTTGCCTCTCCTCTGAGTCGACAAGTTCTAGTCACTTCCTGCTGACCATAACGATCTATTTCAACTTCCACATTGCATCTTTGTTCCTTAAGGCCGTGATCATTTCTAGCTTGTCGTGCATCAGTTCGTCACCACAGGATGCAGAACCAGCCAGTCTGTCTGCCTTTTTGTTTCCCAACACACCTGCTTAGCCAGGAGAAAAGATGCTAATACCTTGGATACATTGCTTAGAGCATGCCTGTCTCTACTGTTGTCAGCATGCTTAGTGATTATTGCAATCATAAAAAAAAATGTGTGCAGCTGTTTGTATTGATTTATTTTGTTGTTATTGTTGAATGTTTATACTTGTGTTTCTCTAGGTTGGCGATGTGAGACTCTGTTGTTTGAAGACCTTGGCCCCTCTGCATGAGACGCCCGACTTGTCGGGGAAATTGGAGCTGTTTACAAACAGGTTTAAGGTAATCTATACTTTATGGGGTTGAAAATTGTGTTGGTGGATCGAAGGCTACGTTTTTGGATAGATTATTGAATTGTTGAACCTGGTGGTTGATTGATTTGTTAGATTGTTTTGTTGAAGCAATGTTTAAGTCGTCTGACTGGTGGTTAATTGATTAGTTGGACTGGTGATTGACTGTGTTGTTAAATTGTTGGATCAGTGATTGAGTTGTGTGACTGTTGGTTGATTGATTTATTTGGCTAGTGAATCATTTTTGATTAAAGAGCAGTGCTTTCGTCTAGAGTGTCTCTGTGGGTTCTGGGACATATTTTGCGATGGGGAGGCTTGGAAATCACAGTGAATGTGACTAGCAAGGTGAGTGTGAATAGCATAGAGTGTGTGAATAGCATAGAGTGTGTGAATAGCATAGAGTGTGTGAATAGCATAGAGAGTGTGAATAGCATAGAGAGTGTGAATAGCATAGTGAAAAACAAGGCGAGTGTGACTAGTATAGTGAATGTGACTAGCAAGACCTTTTCAGGTTAAAAAGAATCTTCAACAAGTACAGGAGATTTCAGGAATATTGTTGCCATCATACTTGTTGGGCATGTTTCTTCTAGGATGCTCTGCTCTTCACCATAGCACAAAGCCTGGGCAGTTTTGTAGAGTCCATGTGTTGTCCATGCAACATGGATCCTTTCTGCCTGCTAAAGACAGTCTGGCAGTTTAACAATGTGACTGATTTGATTATGGCCAAGACAGTTTCATCCGTGAAGCAAAGCATGTCATCCAAACAGGCACTATTCTTCTGTGATTTGGCAAAACTGTAAAGCCACCGAGGGCTCAGAATGCTGAAGAAAATGTTCAAGTGTGTTGATTAACGTCCTACATCATTGTTGTTCTAGTCGAGGTACCAGATTGTTAGTTGAGGCGGCCTTGGACAAAGAATATGATGTGTTTGTTAATGTCATACTTTGCTGTTTTATTCTAGGACCGAATTGTTGAGATGACCTTGGACAAAGAGTATGATGTGTTTGTTAATGTCATACTTTGCTGTTTTATTCTAGGACCGAATTGTTGAGATGACCTTGGACAAAGAATATAATGTGTTTGTTAATGTCATACTTTGCTGTTTTATTCTAGGGGCCCGAATTGTTGAGATGCATCAGTTTGGACAACAGGATGCAGACCAGGTTAGTAATGTCTGCCTTTTTGTTTCCCAACACACCTGCTTACCCAGGAGAAAAGATCCAAAAGATGCTAATACCTTGGATACTTTGCTTATAGCAGGCCTGTCTCTACTGTTCTCAGCATTCTTAGTGATTATTGCAATCATTAAAAAATGTGTGCAGCTGTTTGTATTGATATGTTTGGCTGTTGTTGAATGTTTGATGTACCTGTGTTTCTCTAGGTTGGCGATGTGAGACTCTGTTGTTTAAAGACTTTGCCCCTCTTTTTCTAGGACGCCCGAATTGTCGGGGAGATGGACCTTGGACAAAGAGTATGATTGTTTGTTAATGTCATACTTTTGCTGTTTTATTCTAGGACCGGATTGTTGAGATGTAACCTTGGACAAAGAGTATGATGTGTTTGTTATCGTCAAGGCTGCTGTTTTTTTGGATAGATTATTGAATGTTGGACAAAGAGTTGATTGTTTGTTAGATCATACTTTGCTGTTTTATTGTTGGACCGAATTGTTGAGATGTCGTCTGACTGGTGGTTAATGATTTGTTTGGTCATACTGGCTGATTGACTGTAGGACCGAATTGTTAGATGACCTTGGACAGTGTATGATGTGTTTGTTAATGTCATACTTTGCTGTTTTTATTTAGGACCGACTTGTGAGAATCATTTTTGACAAAGAGCAGTGCTTTCGTCTAGAATACTTCTCTGTGGGTTCTAGGACATATTTTGCGAGATGAGGCTTGGACATCACAGTATGATGTGTTGGTGAATGTCATAGCAAGGTGTGTTAATAGCATAGAGTGTGTGAAAAGCATGGACAGTGAGTAACAAGGTGTGTTTGTTAATGTCTGTATAGTGAACTTTGACTAGCAAGACCTCTAGGACAGAATTAAAAAGAATCTTCAACAAGTACAGGAGATTTCATGAATACTGTTGCCATCATACTTGTTGGGCATGTTTATTCTAGGACCGATGCTCTGTTTCTTCACCATAGCACAGAGCCTGGGATGTATTGTAGAGTCCATGTGTTGTGTTGCATTCATGGATCCTTTGAGATGCCTGCTAAATACTGTCTGGCAGTATTGTCATATGTGGCTGTTTTGATTATGGCCAAGAATTGTTGAGATCCGTGGACAAAGCATGTCATCCAAACAGGCATGTCATACTTTGCTGTTTTACTGTAAAGCCACCGAGGGCTCAGAATGCTGAAGAAAATGTTCAAGTGTGTTGATTAACGTCCTGCATCATTGTTGTTCTAGTCGAGAAACCAGATTGTTAGTTGAGGCGGCCTTGGACAAAGAATATGATGTGTTTGTTAATGTCATACTTTGCTGTTTTATTCTAGGACCGAATTGTTGAGATGACCTTGGACAAAGAGTATGATGTGTTTGTTAATGTCATACTTTGCTGTTTTATTCTAGGACCGAATTGTTGAGATGACCTTGGACAAAGAGTATGATGTGTTTGTTAATGTCATACTTTGCTGTTTTATTCTAGGACCGAATTGTTGAGATGACCTTGGACAAAGAGTATGATGTGGCTGTACAAGCAATAAGATTAGTCATTTGTGTTCTCAAGTAAGTCTTTCATGTCGTTTCTCTCTAATCACCAGTTATGGCACTGTTATGGGGGTGTGGCTGGCCGAGTGGTTAAAAACGCTGGGCTTTCATCATTTGGAGGACCCAGGTTCAAATCCTCAATAAGATGATGGATTTTTCCTTTCAGTGGCAACAAAAAAACATCCTTATCTTTACTGTCTGGCAGCTGCACCATCCTAGTGCCCCAAAACCCTCAGGCAAAACTAAAAAATAAACCTGTAAAGACAGTCTGTGGTACTGCTGTGATGTGCAGAAGTCATACCTTGTTTTGTACTTTTTCCCTTCCTTCAAGCTGATTTTAATTAAAAAACTTTCGTATAGCTCTATTTTTTATAAGATCGTACCTAAATCATGCAGCAGGGAATTTGCATAACATCGGCATAATCATTGCATGCCAGAAAGCCGTTCCATCCCCTGGTAACTTTCCCGCCGTGAGTGTCTTTGATATCCGTGCGTCTGCTGTCATACTGGTCAGCCCCTGTCTCTTCTGCCAGGAACCATAGCTTCCATTATTGTTCTCTCCAAACCATTTTGGCATTTAATGTAGTAGAAGTATTTCAATTTACGAGAATGCATATTTTTTTATGTGCCAGCCCTTGATATTCCTGAAGTCTCCGCATGGGTTCCAGGACCCTGTTTTGGGGGGAAAGGTACAGACCCACTGCCCCATAAAAAGCATGTCATAAAGGCAACAAATTAGGGATTTTGTCCTCTGAAGTGCATCTGAATCAGAGGCGAGGAACCAAGAGTCTACAAACAATTAAACCAGATCTGAAAGAATAAAAAGGTTATGCATGCAGAACTCAAATTCTGGAACAAGACTAAAGTCCAGAAGTGGATGAACAGCCTGAAATTTTTTGCCTATAAATGCTAAGAATAAGAGGATGAGATCCTGAAGTATATCAGTATTTTTACTCTTTTTTTTGGGGTCCACGATGCCTTACGAATCTTTCTGTGACTTTAAGTTCAAAACACCAGATTTTCTACTTCTCAAGTAGTCCACGTCTCAAATCTTGCACACCCCCCAAGGCTCAGATCTTGCCACAGAAGAGTTCAGAATCTTCCCTTCAGGTTTTTTTTTCTGATGTTGTGCAACAGACTTTCATACAGTTTAACCAATGCATTTAGAGAAATTATCCATTGAGGTCACATTTTTGGCAGAAGCCATGATCGACTGTTCTGCAAAAATCTGTTCTTGTTAGCTTCTTCCCTTCACATACACACACACCACACACCACTCCCCTCATTATTTGGTCAACAACAAAAATAAAAAATCTCAAATATCCAGTCATAATCTCACAATGAAAATATTCTATGATTATAATAAGGTGCACATGCATTGAAAATGTGCTGTGATTGAATAGAGTGTCAATGTGCTGTGATTGAATAGAGTGTCAATGTGCTGTGATTGAATAGAGTGTCAATGTGCTGTGATTGAATAGAGTGTCAATGTGCTGTGATTGAATAGAGTGTCAATGTGCTGTGATTGAATAGAGTGTCAATGTGCTGTGATTGAATAGAGTGTCAATGTGCTGTGATTGAATAGAGTGTCAATGTGCTGTGATTGAATAGAGTGTCAATGTGCTGTGATTGAATAGAGTGTCAATGTGCTGTGATTGAATAGAGTGTCAATGTGCTGTGATTGAATAGAGTGTCAATGTGCTGTGATTGAATAGAGTGTCAATGTGCTGTGATTGAATAGAGTGTCAATGTGCTGTGATTGAATAGAGTGTCTGTGTTTGAATAGAGTTACAATGTGCTGTGATTGAATAGAGTGACAATGTGCTGTGATTGAATAGAGTGACAATGTCCTGTGATTGAATAGAGTGACAATGTGCTGTGATTGAATAGAGTGACAATGTGCTGTGATTGAATAGAGTGACAATGTGCTGTGATTGAATAGAGTGACAATGTGCTGTGATTGAATAGAGTGACAATGTCCTGTGATTGAATAGAGTGACAATGTGCTGTGATTATTAAAGGTATAGCAAATGGTCAGGAATGCTCAGTCTTAAATATGTTCAGTTTTCAGCTCACGTAGCAGATTGCATACACTTTCGCGGCGCCGGGTGACGAACTCCTTGTGGTCCGGGTTCACTCCCAGGGGTAGGCAGAAAAGCCACATTTCTCCCAGATTAACGGTACCCATAATGGAATCAAGGCCGAAGGGTTGCGATATCCATAGTACCGAGCCAAAGGGTTTACAACTCATGGTTTCTGGATACGTTAAAAAAAAAAAAAAAAAATACAGAGGAAATGTCCTGTGATTATATTAATGTACACATATGGTGAGAAATGTCTCCTAATTGTCTTAATGTGCATCTACAGTAAATACATGCTGTGATTATATTAATGTACAAAACAGTGAGAAATGTCTCCTGACTGTATTGATGTGCATCTACAGTAAATGACATGCTGTGATTATGTTAATGAACAGGTACAGTGAAAATGTCCTGTCAGACAAGGACTGCGAGAATGTCTACGAGCTAGTGTACTCATCAAACCGGCAAGTCGCACAGGCGGCTGGAGATTTCCTGAATCACAAACTCTTCCGGCGAGATGATGAGGCTCCGCCTGTTCGTTCTGCGAAGGGAAAGAAAAGAAGTGCAAATACGCCATTGGTTAGAGACTTGGTGCAGTTCTTTATTGAAAGTGAGGTGAGTCCAGCAGTTGTAGTTCTCTTTGAAGCAGAACATCTAGCAAGCCTAAAGCCTAAATGTTGAATTTTGAATTAAGAAACAACATCATAGCTCTTGGGGCATTCCCATACATGCTCCATCCCCATTTTTAACAGCAAACGAATGAGTTCCAATTCCAATGGTACCAGCAACTGTCTGTACATCCATTTCACCCTTCCGTTGAGTGTCGGTCAGATCCCCCGGTAATGCCCTGCAGAATCATTCTCCTCAGACCATAACGATCTGTTTGTGCCTCCTCACTGTTGACTTACTCCCAAAGGGCCCTCACACCATCTACTTTGTCTTGCATCAGTTCACTACCAAGTGGTGCAGAACCGACCAGTTTATCTGCCTGCTTGTTTCCTAATACACCAGCATTGCCTGGAGAAAATACCCAAAGGACACTAACTACCCTAGTAGTAAACCTTTGAAACGCGAGGCTGTAATTAATATGAATTATTAAAACAATGGACTCCTATGATCTGTGAGTGAGTAAAACACTAGATTCTAACGACATTTGGGTGATTAAAATAATATATACTTTAATTTGGTAAAAGTGATTAAAATATTAGATTTTTATTTGTCTATGAGTAGTTTGAAACAATATATTTGAACCCTTGTGCATTGAAGACCCTGTTAAAATGCCCAGATTCGGGTTCCCAAAGAAAAGGCTGTTAGCAGGTCAGCTCACTAATACAAATAAATGTAAAAAAAAACAAAAAGGGGGAGGGAGAGAGAGGAATTATTTATATACATTTCAAATTAAAAGAAATTTAAATATATGAAATGGATTATCAGTAAACACAGAGTCGAGAATAAAAAGACTACAGGCTCGTGGGACTAATAAAATACTAAAGGCTATAATCACTAAAAAAGCAATTTTTTATCCAGAATGCCCCCCATCTTCCCTAATGTTATTTATAGTGAATATAACCGTATCGGCCCCCTGCTGAACACTGTGCAGGCACAGACAGAACCAGTGCCATCAACTAGGCTTCGGCCCCCTGTTGAATACTGTACAGGCACAGACAGAACCAGTGCCATCAGCTAGGCTTCGGCCCCCTGTTGAACACTGTACAGGCACAGACAGAACCAGTGCCATCAACTAGGCTTTGGCCCCCTGTTGAACATTGTGCAGGCACAGACAGAACCAGTGCCATCAACTAGGCTTTGGCCCCCTGTTGAACATTGTGCAGGCACAGACAGAACCAGTGCCATCAACTAGGCTTTGGCCCCCTGTTGAACATTGTGCAGGCACAGACAGAACCAGTGCCATCAACTAGGCTTCGGCCCCCTGTTGAACACTGCAGGCACAGACAGAACCAGTGCCATCAGCTGGCTTCGGCCCCATGCTGAACACTGCAGGCACAGACAGAACCAGTGCCATCAACTAGGCTTCGGCCCCCTGCTGCTGAACAGAACCAGTGCCATCAGCTAGGCTTCGGCCCCCTGCTGAACACTGTGCAGGCACAGACAGAACCAGTGCCATCAGCTAGGCTTCGGCCCCCTGCTGAACACTGCAGGCACAGACAGAACCAGTGCCATCAACTAGGCTTCGACCCCCTGCTGAACACTGCAGGCACAGACAGAACCAGTGCCATCAACTAGGCTTCGGCCCCCTGCTGAACACTGCAGGCACAGACAGAACCAGTGCCATCAGCTAGGCTTGTCAGGGACTGCTCAGTACAGCAATAGCAGTTTGATGACTTCTAATGGGTTTGCAAGAGACTATAATGAAAGAGGATTAGATTAGCAGCATCTCTGGGTAAAGGGGCTAATGATCTGAAATGTGTTGAAATACTAAACTCTGATGCCTGTGATTGATTGAACTTTTGTATTCTATTTAGTATAATGCCTGTGATTGATTGAACTCCTGTATTCTATTTAGTATAATGCCTGTGATTGATTGAACTCCTGTATTCTATTTAGTATAATGCCTGTGATAGATTGAATCCCTGTGTTATGTTCTTCTGTCTTGTTTGTGTTTACCTGCTGTAAACTCTGGCGGAAAGCTCTGCTTGTTCATCCACCTCTGTTGTTCCAGAACCTAAGTGTTGTGTGCACATCTGTTTTACAGGTCTGACATTTATATGCAGACTGTTGGTTCCTTGTCTCTAAAGCAGATGCACTGCAACTCTGAAGAAAACCCCCAGTTAGTTGACTTATGACATGATTTTTAGCGAGGCAGTGATCTGATCTTGTTTTCTCCACAGTGGGGCCCCTGGAACTCACTTGAGGGTTGAATTATATTGACTGTAATGACTTATGACGGACTGAAGCTCTAGATTTTATTTGCCTATGACTGATTGAACACCTGTACTCTATTAAATATAGTGAGGTATGATTAAACATAACATTAGATTGTAATGACCTTTCAGCAGTTAAAATGACTATATTTCGAGATTGCCACTGTTTCAGCTTCACGAACATGCTGCATATTTGGTGGACAGTCTGTGGGAGATCAATGAGATGATGAAGGATTGGGAGTGTATGACAGATCTTCTACTCGAAGAACCTGGTAAAGGAGAAGAAGGTATGTGTTCACATTGGTCTTTTAAATTACTGACAGAGTGGCAAACATCGCTTCAGTGGTTTTCCTATAGTTTGTGTCCTCTTGTATATTGGGGAGGGGGGATGCAGGTTTGATGGGAAATGAACAGATTGGTCATGCACCACTGGACGGTGAGTTCATGCAGGACAAGCTAAATCTCAGCGTTCTTTGCAAGTAAACAATGCAGAAGCACAAATAGGTCATTATAGTGGGACAACAATCGTGCAGTGGGGGGGTGACCAGGGCATCTGATTGACACTACACTGAAATGAAAGGCAAGATGGACATATAATCAAACTGTTTCTACCCCCGTGTGGGTTTCGGGGCCCTATTGTGGGGAAAACAAGAATAGACCCACTGCCTCCCCAAAAGCATGTCGTAAGAGTCGACTAACTGGGGAGCTTCCTTTGAAGTCGGAGTGCATCTGCCTGAGAGGCAAGGAACCAGCAGTCTACATTCAATTGAATCAGATCTGTAAAACTGATGCACACGCAACACTCAGGTTCTGGAGCAGGACTGCAGTCCAGAAGTGGACGAACAACCAGAACTTTACGCCAGAGTGTACAGCTGGTGAACGCAAAGAAGAAGAAGAAGAAACTGTTTCTAGTTCCATCAACACTCACTGCTCAAGATGACTGAGCATTTATGACAATGTCCTAAGTGCTATGAAATCGGTTCTGAACTCAGCTCATTATTGACTCCTGACTTTTCCACACACAAAGAGTCACATTGTTAACTTTACTGTGGACACGGTAGCTGCAATAGCTAGTTTAAATAAGCTAGCTTGAGAATGTTGGTGTCGGGGCTTGGACTACATCAGCAGTCTGTGTTTTGTCTTGTATCTGCAGCACTTGATGACAGGCAAGAAACTAGTCTCATCGAAATTATGGTCTGCTGTGTCAAACAGGCGGCCACAGGGGAGTCCCCTGTTGGCAGAGGTCCTAGCAGAAAGGTAAATATTTGTATTATTGTCTGTCTTTTCTCTTTCTCCCATGACTGCACCCTTTTCTCTACCCCTCTGACCTACTTCTATTTTTCTGCCTTTGTCCCATGACTGTTTCATCTCCCTTTCTCCCACCCTATTTCTGTCACTTCTTTTCTTTCTCCTAGTGAATCTTTTCTTTCTCCTCTCCGAATCTTTCCTTTCTTCAATCTTCACTCTCCCCTCCTGTCCTATTTCCAGCTAAATTTTTGCTGTTTCTTTCTTTTTCATATGTTTATCTTTCTTTCCTGACTCTCATCTGTTTGTCAGTGGCTGTCTTCTCTGCCTTACACATCCCACTCACTAATTCACTAAACCAGTGAGTTACTCTTGTTCTATTACATTCTATCATCCAGAGTTTTTTGTTTCAATTCTGTCTTTCCTGTTTTCCTTTACTGGTATTTTCACTGTTCCCCTTTCTCTGTATCTCTTCTGTTACATTTACTGGGTTATGACAGAATAAACTTTTCTTTCCAGTCTTTCTTTCCCAGACATTTTGTAAGCTGATCTGGCATGTTTATTTTTCAGAGATTGCCCAGACTTTGTCATCTTTCTTTCTCACACGTTAACTAAAATGTAGATACTATACATTTTTGATGCTGTGAATTTAGACTAACAGTCAGCACAAAGAGGACAAAGATTATGGTGCAAGGTGTTAATGATAGACCTGCAGTCTACATTGATGTTGAAGAGCTGGAGACAGTTGATCATTTTACCTCTCTAGGATCCACAGTGAATAAAATGGATCAAGAAATCAACATCAGGATAGAAAAGGCAGCAACAACAATGAGCAGATTAACATAAAAAGTGTGGGAGAACAGAAAGCTCACGATTAAAACACAAACTCTTGTCTATCAGGCTTGTGTTCTCAGCATTCTTCTTTATGGCAGCAAAACTTGATCAACTTATTCTCACCAGAAGAAATAGCTTTCACATGCGTGGTCTAAGAAGAGTACTTGGCATTAAATGGCAAGACATGATCACAAACGCTGAGGTATTGGAAAGAGCAGGAAAATTACAAGTTTTCTCATTGCTCAGTCTGAGAAGGCTCAGGTGGCTGGGTTACACATGGCTAGACGTCGAGGCCTATCTCTACTACGATATAAAGACTTGTGCAGGTGGGACACAAATGTTATAGGTAATGATGTGGATTTGTGGGAAAGAAATACCTTGGACCATGTTGCATAGTTGGAGCAAATCAGAAAGGAAATGAGAATGGAGGAAGATATGATTGCAGAAAGGATGAAAGCTGAGTGTCTGAGAAGAAACGCACTAAATACAAACAATGGCAACAGTCCTGAAATCCCCTGCTATAATTGTCTTAGCCTGGGTAGGTCTTGCTATTCACACGCCCATGGGCTGTGAATCCCATGCCTCCTTCCACAATATAACACAAACTGGAAAGAGTAAAAGGTTACTGGAAAGAATAAACATTGATTAAAATTTGATAAAACTCCTAGAATAACGAGAATGACTTTGTTCAGAACTCACAGGACAAGAGTGATGGAAAAAAAGGGGGAGTGGGGGGAAGGTGGAGGACCCTAAAAGCACACAGAGAAACAAATATGAAAAATCAGAGATGGACGACTAGGACATATCATGGGAGTAGCTGTAGAGGATGGCAACTGCTTGATGGGAGATAGTTAGAGCTCATGTTCTGGTGAGATAATGACAGGCAGAAAATTGACACGTTTAGTAACTCTTTTCCTTTGCGTTCACCGGCTGTAAACTCCAGCGGAAAGTTACGGGTTCTTCACCCATCTCTAGACTTTAGTTGGGTTCCATAACCTGAGTGTGCATGCAAATCCTTTTTTTTTTACATATATGACTTATTTGTTTGCAAATTGTTGGTTCATTGGCTGTCAGGCAGATGCACTCCGACTTCAAAGAAAGCCCAAGTCATTCGACTCTTACAACATGCTTGCTGGTGAGGCAGTGGGTCTATTCTTGTTTCCCGCACAATCGGGGTCCCAGAACCTACACGGAGAGTTCAGCACCTATATTTTGTTTGAAACTACATATTTGTAATTTCCCCTGTCATTCTTTACTGTGAAAGAATGGAAACAGCAGAACAAGAAATTTGAACAATAAAAGAGGCAAACAATAGATTACACAATTTTATGGCCAGGCATATTTAACTGTATCTCATCAGTAAATATTACAACAAAATATATCAGGCAGTAAATTGCGCAGTCTATAATGTGTGTCTTCTTTGTTTATATTTACACTGGGAAAGCCTGACTTTAAGAACAAGAAATGAAACATTTGTTTGGCTTGTTTTTCTTAGTTGTCAGCCAAGGAAGCCAAACAAGTTTCAGAAGATAAACAGAAACTGACCGAGCATTTTATTGTCACGCTGCCCCAGTTGTTGCTGAAGGTGATTATTTAGATAATTCTGTGTTGAGAGTAGATAGATGAGAGTAGATAAAGAACTTATGTTGTGATGAGACAAGTGGAGTCTGTTTAGAGTAGATAGATGGAGTCTGTTGATGTGTATTTTTTTTTTAAAAAACTGAAGTTGATTTTGCGATAGTGTTTTGTATGTTATTTACTTGTCATACGTGTCAGTGTCTTATTGAAGCAATAACATTACTTTGTTGAGGTCAGTTCTTTTTTTTAAACTCTATAGGTTCTTTTTAAAATGTCATAGATTCTTTATAAAACTTCAGAGGTTAATTTAAAGATTCATAAGTTCTTGTTTGAAGCTTCCTAGGTTTTTTTAAAACTTCATAGATTCTGTTTTTTAAAACTTCAAAGGTTCTCTTTTTCAAACTTTATAAATTATCTTTTTAAAAGCTCTTATGTTTTTTCAAAATTTCCCAGTATTTTGATACATTATTGCTGTGTACCAATTTTAAAAAAATGTCACTTGCAATGGGAAAAATAAGATGCAAAAGAAGAACTTTAAAGTACGACGTATAGACCTATGTTATATTTATGTGAGACACAGACAATAAGCAGACATGCTGGAAAAACAGTTATTCATAGCGGGAGCGAATATCGTGGAACTGTAGAGTGAAAAAACAGGCAATCCTCCTTGAGACAGATAAAAGTTGTTAACTGGTCAGAGATATCAGATGTTGACTCAGCGTTTCTTGGACACATATTGAGAAGGAATGGGCTTAAGAACTTGATAACGACTGGCCAGATAAGTTGGAAAAGCAAGGGGCTGGCAAAGAGATAAATACCTGGATGGCTCAGCCATGTGGTTAGGCGAAACAAGAAATCTGACTTGCTCCATGATTCTGATGACCATGTGAGATGGGGAAACATGACATCTTAAGGTTGTCGACACCGCACATGATAATAATGATTGCAGTTATAGTTAATATTATTGTGGAAACTAAACTGCTGAGATAATTCCTCTTCTATACATGAAATATCTAAGTTGTCTTTGTTATTTTGTTTTCTCTGATACTTTGCCTTTTTGTTATACATATAACTTTGATGAACATGTGTTTGCAGTATTTGATGGATCAGGAGAAAGTGGCCAATTTGCTGCAGATTCCACTGTTCTTTGACCTTGACATCTACACGTCTGGTAGGCAGGAGAAGGTGAGATTTTTGTATAGTAGTTTGGCATATGGAAACTGTTTAATTCGGGTTCATAAATCATTGGCTGTCTGGTGTTCTCTAAGGGTCTGATAAGGAAATCTGGCCGACACTCGACACCAGAGCTATTCAGCCGACTACCCGCTGGCCAAATCTGGCCGACACTCGACACCAGAGTTATTCATCTGGCTACCTGCTGGCCAAATCTGGCCGACACTCTACACCAAAGTTATTCTACTGACTACCCCCTGGCCATATCTGACCTGCATAGGCCGAGCAGGTGGCCTCCAGATCATTGCCAAATAAATTCTATTAGTGATCTTTCTTGCTGGGGCTCTGACCTCTAGCAAGTGACCGTCTTCATTTTCACCATTTTGGAAACTCGGTAAACTTGGTTGAATAGCTCTCCTCTACACTGATGATATGCAAACCGACATCTGATCAAACTGCTGCTGTGAATCTTCACTGGTTGCTGAAAATGAAGATATGAGTGCCAATGGGAATGTCCCACATGCTGTGATGTCAGTTCTTGACTCAACTCGGCTAAGAGACTGATTCTGATATTGTCTTCATTTTTAGTAAATGGTTGAGTGAAGGAAGTGTTCCTACCACTGGATACATAAGAATAGTTTTAGATAGTCTCTCGGCTTGACCTAGAACTTTTATTTGTATGATTTAAAAAAAAATTTGTGAGATTAAGAACTGTAACTTTGGATAGACAGAACAGTTAACTGCAATGGTATTACATGATTTTTAATTAGACAGAATATTAAAAGGTTAATATAAAAATAATATTAAAGTTTATTAAGCTAAAAAAAATTTATTTATGCTAGCTTTAGTTTTATGTAAGCTGGCTGTAGTTTTATTTAAACTTGCTTTATTTTATTTAAGCTAGTTCTAGTTAGTTTTAACGCCATCTCTATTTATTAAAACTCACTGTAGTTTTATTTAAGCTCACTCTAGTTTTATTTAACCTCACTCTAGTTTTATTTAAGCTCACTCTAGTTTGCCTTCTCAAGACACTATAATTATGTTTTCCTGCCAGAATCTGGAGTTGCTATTGCGTTACATCAATGACATTGTGGAGAAACACACAGGATCTGAGGTATGCTTTGTCAGTGTGTGTCGTTAGGTAGGATGTAAACATTGTGTGGGTTCTGGGGTGCCATTTAGGAGGACAGGGATAGACCATTTGGCCCTCTGTCGTAAAAGTACTAATTAGGGGTAGAAAGGTGCATTCATCACAGCCTAGCTGTAAACTACAAAACAGCATACCGTTTCAGGGTAAATGATTAAAAAAAGAACTGTTTGTGCAGCAACTCTCAAACTCTGGCACTAATCAGTTGCAGACTTCTCAAACGTACACTGGCGTAATAAGCAGTGAACAATGCTACACGAGTGATCGCTGACAATGTTTGTATTCATTCAACAACAGCTGACTTGTTGGCCAGTGCAGGTCAAGACAAGACACATCTAGGGTTCAACTGCTTAACACGGCATCTCTCGAACGACGCTAGCAGATGTTACCTTTGACTAAATAATGTCAGAAGAATCCACGCAGACACTTTGACAGACACAGACAACTCAGTCTGACAGCAGCCAATGACATCCAGCCTGGACAGGAAGTCAGCTCGACAGGATAATCAGGGTTCCAGGAAAACCCATATTCAAACTCAAGTGCAGGCTTCATTCTTCTTCTTCACTTCCTCTTCTACCGCTGTGAATGTCGAGGGAGATATAAGGTTCTGTTTCTAGCTCTTCTGGCCGCCTCGACCATAAGCACATCGTGCTGTTGTAGAGTTTCTCTGATGTTATCCTTCCATCTTGTTCTCTGTCTACCTCGTGCTCTACGTCCTTCCTCTCTTTCCATGTATGCTTTGTATGGTATGGTGTCACAAGGCATTCTCTCTAAGAGGGCAAACCATTTCACCTGCTGTCTTCGTATGTAATTTAGAATTGGTTCTGTGCCGACTTTTTCTCTTATGATCTCATTCCTGATCTTATCTCTTATGGTCACTCCTACAGCCCTTCTCAGACATCTCATCTCCATGGTTACTAATTTTCTTTTATGGTTTGTTGTGAGTGACCATGTCTGGCACTGGTAGCACAGAGTTGGAATAAATATGCTTTAAATAAGATGTCTCTTCATTAACACATAGATTCGTTAAGTATTTGTTCCACATCCACCCGTCCCAGAGTTGACACAGACTCACACAAGAATAAAACCAAGACTGATCATGCTAGATCTTTTCAGGCATTAAATAATCTTTCTCGTCAACGTTCTAGATCACCCACATCCGGGATTGTCCCATTTGGCACGGGTATGGCAATTTGCTCGTTTCGCCAACATTTCCAGTGCGCCACAATTCGTCCTCGATAGATTCAGATACATAATTCATATTCATTATCTGATGTCATGTGTACTTTAAACATAAAGTATAGAGGAGAAAATGATTTACTACAATGAGCAGAAAGCACCCTTTATACCTGATTGAACTCTTCTTCAGCAATCTGTGGTCATGAGCTTAATCCACTGTGGGCCATAAACAGGGTTGTCAGCCTCAAGTCTCTTAGGTTTCCCCAAACTTTAGCTCTACTGGGTATGCCATTAGAAGTCTGTGTGTTGGTGGTGAATAGCCCAGTCTTTGTGGTTTCAGGTGCTAGAGGCCTGTTCCAAGTGTCTGGAGTGTCTGTGCAACGAGGAGTTTGCCATTGCCAGCAAGTGTGAGGTCAGCAAGAAGACACTGATAGATGCCCTGGTCATCAAACTGAAACAAGCTGTGCAGGACTACTTCACTGAGGTATGCCTTTTTGTGTTTACTATCTTATTTTTGAGAACCAATGTGGCGTAATAGTTGACGCTTGCTGGATGAAGGTCTTGGGTCCGCACCAATTTTTCTTCTTCTTCATAACTGACCTGGTTTCCAGGTTGGGTACCAGGTAAAGTCCTTGGAAGTAAAAGCTGCTGACATGTTGTTAACCACATGACCCGTGAAGTGCTGATTGGTCTATAGACGTTGAGTAAGCCTCATATGCGTGATATGCAGTTGACGTGAACAAGGTCCTTTACTTTAAAAACAAAAAGAGTCTGTTCACTTTTACTGTGACCACTCACTTCACTCCTTCTGTCTCCAGCTTGCCAGGAAGGCTAGCCCAGGTGCAAATGCCTGCAGAAGTCAGATGTGTCAACCAAAAGGCACAAATATCACACTCATGTTGTAAATTGGCACATCACATTTTTGTCTGGGTGAATAAAGCAGAAAATCTCCCATTATATCTGTCCCGTTTCTCTGTGGCCTTCCAATGCCTTCTTTCTTATCTCTACATCCCTTCTCTCACTCTCTGCTTCACCCTGCCTCTTTTACTATCTTTTTCTCACTTAGTTTCTCTTTTCCCCTTCAGTTTTTTCCCTTTATATATTCTGTCTGAATTTTTATAATTTCCTGCTCTACCATTTCTATCGCAGTATCTATTTCTCTTTTTCAATTTTCTTTTCTTGTTTTTTGTTTTTGTTTTTTCCATCTCTACTTTTTGCTTTGTTTCTTTGCCCATTCCATATGCCCCTTTCACCTCTTTCTCTCACTCACTCTCTCAGTGGCCTATTTCTATTATTTTTTCCTTTATCTTTTATCCTCTTATCATTTATCCATGATTGACGTTTTAAGGTTTTGACAGAAGCCTAAATGTGAAATTTCTAAAACTTCCTAACAGGGTGACACACCAGACGAGGATGAAACTTTTGCCCTCCTGGCAAGTCTCAAGAGGATGTATGCATTTTATTCGTAAGTTTCCTAAGTTTGTGTTTATGTTATTTACTGGTGACAATTCTTTGAGGAAAGAATCTGTCGACTCATTGCCCTTTAAAAGACCTGTTGTTAAAAAGCAACTAATTAGGATTTTTTTTTTTAAATCGGATGTATTAGGAAGAAAGATGCAGACATTACAGCCTGTCTGTAAACTACAACACTGACATACGAGCCATCCTTTTAATGGCTGACACAGAAAGAAGAACTGCTAGTTTTGTTCATACAAAGCACATTTTGTGAGTTGTTGGATATCATAAGATGAGGGGGAGCCTGTTTACTTATGCCAGTCGGTACATGACTTGTTGATGATAATGTTTTCCTCTTCTGCCCTTCATTCCCTATTGGAGCATAAACCCTTGACAAAGTCATTATATCCTTTGCCAGCGTGGAAAGCTGATTGTTGTAGTTCTCAGAAACTCTACCCTAAGAAACTAGAAGTAAAATAAATGTGAATTTTTTTTTTTTTTTTTTCAAATCCAGGGTTTTGAAGCCAGGGACAACCGAGCAGACAAGCAAAGCCTGCTAGCTGTTGCGTAATCGCGGCCCGTAAATCACTAAAAAGATTGATTTTTCATAATTAAGAGCCATGATTTTTTTTTCTAATGAAGGGAAATAATCACTAAATACAACCAGAGCAAAGAAATAGCTTCCTGCTTTCCTTCCCTTTGACCAAGAAAATTATGGTTTTGTTGACCCAGCCACAATGACAAAAAAAAATATAAGTTTTCGTCTCAACTAAAATCATACCCACCACGTCTACACACTATGTTGCTGCAACCAGTACCATCATTTTGGTTTAAGCACAATGGCCACTGTGCAAAGCACTACATTATCAGAACCGCCAAAAATCATAAAAACCGGCATTCCCTGGGTGACATGGTTAATGTATGTTTTATTTCTGATAGATGCCATGATCTGACAAACTGGGAGGTATGGGACGATCTGTTTCTGGTGGTGAAGTCAGCCACAGACAAAGCCAGCATACCTGAAGAGGTGAGTGTGTTTGTTGAGGTGGTCAGGCAAAGCCAGCATAAATAATACATTGGTAGCACAGCCACTTGCTGATGCTGAGCTTGATGACTTTGTGTATACATGTATGTATGTACGTACATATGTGTGTGTGAGATCAAATAATTGAGTATGTTCTTCTTCTTCTTCTTCTTGCCGACTGGCTGTAAATAAAACTCCAGCAGAAAGTGCTGGTGCTTCATGAAGAACAACCGTGAAGAAATGTGGAAAGATAGTCATGATTTCATATGAAGTAAAGCATATTCACAGATGTAGAAGTCCAACTGATGATAAGCTGTCTGTTAACTGTGGGAGAAAACCTCATCAGTAGTACAGTAGGGGATATGAAGGTGCCGGGCGCAACACAACCAGGGCTCACACTGGTGAAAACCTCTCTGCACTTTTCACGGTTATCCTAGAAACAGATTCCTGGTCAGAGGCCTGGCCAATATAGATATTTTTTTTTAAATATCCAGAAACCATGAGTTGTTAACCCTTTGGCTCGGTACTATGGATATCGCAACCCTTCGGCCTTGATTCCATGATAGTACCGTTAATCTGGGAGAAATGTGGCTTTTCTGCCTACCCCCGGGAGTGAACCCAGACCACAAGGAGTTTGTCACCCGGTCACCGCGATGTCAGGTTTAACCAACTACTCTAGAGAGCCGGGCATAGGCCAACATAGGTAGGATCAATGTTTTTTTCAAAGTCGGAGGCATCTGGTTAGAAACCAACAGTCCGCACACAGATTAGTCTGATCTGTTAAACAGATATGCACTCAAAACTCCTGGAGCAAAAAGTCCTGGAGCAAGACCAACGTCCAGACATTGATTAACAATCAGGACCTTCTGCTGCAGTTTACAGTTGGTTGCAAACAAAAAAACAAAGTCTTCTAGTCTTGGCTAGAATGCCACAGACTACGAAGGAACAAATACTCTTTAATTGACTATTGTTGGTTGTCAAGTTTTCATTATTGTCCATATCTACACAAAGGCTTTAGGGGAGAAAAATGACCTTAGGATGTGGTTCCTTGTGTGGATTTAGAAAACTCTTCATTTGCATGACTGTAGGAGACTTTACCTCCAGTCTTGGACAGACTGTAGGAGACTTTACCTCCAGTCTTGGACAGACTGTAGGAGACTTTACCTCCAGTCTTGGACAGACTGTAGGAGACTTTACCTCCAGTCTTGGACAGACTGTAGGAGACTTTACCTCCAGTCTTGGACAGACTGTAGGAGACTTTACCTCCAGTCTTAGACAGACTGTAGAAGACTTTACCTCCAGTCTTGGACAAACCGTAGGAGACTTTACCTCCAGTCTTGGACAGACTGTAGGAGACTTTACCTCCAGTCTTGGACAGACTGTAGGAGACTTTACCTCCAGTCTTGGACAGACTGTAGGAGACTTTACCTCCAGTCTTGGACAGACTGTAGGAGACTTTACCTCCAGTCTTGGACAGACCTGTTTTTATGGGAAATGTTTTTGTTGTATGATCATTGTTTATTGACTTGGTCTTAGATTGACGAAAATCTATGTTGTTTGTTCCACAGATTATTGTGCGTGCAATCCAGGTTTGCGCATCAGCCATCTTGTTTTATATCAACCGCATTGATGACACAAAACCTCGGCCGGTAAGAGCAGACATGTTGTTTGAATATACCAATGTGGTTAGTTTTTAAACCGAATTAGGAAGCTATTTTTTTTTATAGAACATAATAACAGAGTATGAAAACTGGTATGAATAAATAGACAGCTATGTATTGTCATTAATTTTTACTATTGAAAATGTATATAGAATAAATAATGTTAACTATCCTAATGTTCACCTCAAGAGGTCTGTAATTGACAGAAACATTTCATAATTAATATATAGACACACTTAGAAATCACAACTTCTTGTTTCAGATTTGTATCTGTATTATTAGTTTTATAAGAACTTTTGCTTACTGCTAAATATGGGGATGGAGCACTTCTGGGAATGTCCCAAATAGTGTGATATCGATTCTCAATTAAACTTATAATGCCACGAGGAAATGAATTTTTCATTGATTTTTAAGAGAGAGAAAATACATCCCTGGCATGACAAGAACTGAGATTTCTTTGAAACAAATATGTATGCTATAAAATTTGAGTTTGTTTGTGCATTTCATCATCTTCTTGGCATTCACTGGCTGTAAACTCTGGAAAATTTGTGTTGTTCATCCACTTTTAGTCTTGTTTGAAAACTTTTACAAATCAGTCTTGCACATATGCAGTCTATTGGTTCCTCCCTGTTCGGTCAGATGCCTTCCGAATTCAGAGAGAAAACCCCTACTTAGTCGTCTCTTATGGCATGCTTGTTAGGAAGGGCGGTGGGTCTAACCAACCCCCACCTACCCATTCCCCAAATAGGGCTGCGGAGCCCACACTGGGAGTTTGTGCATGAGTTTGTCTGTCAGTCTGTGTTAGTGTATAAATTCTTACTTAAGATTTTACCACTTTTGTTCTTTCAGGATGAAATGAAGAGACTGAGAAAGAAGCTGTCACATCTGATGTCATGCTGCCATGAGCTGATGTTCCACGAGAGTGAGAAAGTCAAGGAGGAAGTAAGTCTGCCAGTTTAATAATACCATGAAAAAACATCAATTCAAACAAAAGGTAGTAATCCTCAGCTTCACAACACCACAGTCACGAACGGCAAAATAAATGTTTCAACTAAAAAAAAAAAAACTTTGTTCAGCATGCAGTGCACAACAAATACATAAAATTACAGTAAAAGCTCGTTAGCACAGATTCCAAGAAACCGGGAGTTAAAAAAAAACACTGTTCAGCATGCAGTGCACAACAAATACATAAAATTACAGTAAAAGCTCGTTAGCACAGATTCCAAGAAACCGAGAGTTAAAAAAAAAACACGGTTCAGCATGCAGTGCACAACAAATACATAAAATTACAGTAAAAGCTCGTTAGCACAGATTCCAAGAAACCGGGAGTTAAAAAAAACAACAATCTGCTAACCAGGGCAGATGAATAATACATCCCTGCTGGGACTACAGTTTTGTTCATGTTAACTGATTGTTCATCTTAAGCGAGTTTATGTTTACAAGGGTTTACAGTGATGTCTCTCACAGAATCTCCATAAAACACTTGACTTGCAACGAGAGATAGACGGATATGATGACCAGGTTTTTTAAAAAAAAGATCCTTTGTTGATTAAAAAAAAATCCATGGTTATCTCTCATATCGAAGCCTTGTTAACTGCTTTTGAGAAGAGTCTTATTTCATATCTTTGACTCCACTAAAGATGTAAACAGTAGATAAAAGTGAACAAGAAGCAACAATGAAATTCATAAGTTATTTAAAATCAGCACTAATTCTTGTGTGATTCCAGTACTAACCTATGGATGCGAGAGCTGGAAATCAACGAAAACTCTAGACACAAAATTAGACAGTTTCGAAAATAAATGCCTTAGAAGAATACTAAATTTCAAATGGTCAGATTTCCGAACCAATGCACAAATAAGGCAAGAATCCAGGCAAGAGTATGTGTCTAATTTTATACGAAAACGTCGCTGGAACTATGTCGGCCACGCCCTTAGAATGGATAAATCAAGACTTCCTTACCAAGCCCTCATTTGGACACCACCGGGGAAAAGATCTCGTGGAAGACCGAGGGAAACCCTACGTAGAACTATCATCAGGGAAGGCTCGCTCATGGGCCACTCAAACATCCAAGACCTACAACAGATTGCAACCAACCGCCATGCATGGAGAGTCATGACCTCTGCCCTATGTGCCGCACTCGACACAAGAGGAAAGACTAACTAACTAACTAATCACTGGCATCGTGAGCGCTAATAAACTGCAATAGTTGGGGAATTTAGTGAGAAGGGCAGTAACAGAGAGATTATAAACTGTGTATACAGAAGAGTTGAATGAAAGACAATGGAAGAGATTAAGAAGTCGGTGGAGAGATAATATACAAGAAGACCTACGACCATTTGGAGTCACCAGCGGGAAATAGAAGGCCAGTCACAGGCATAAAGATGAGAGGATCAACCCATATGGTTTGGTCTCTCTGCAGAATGGCTAGCCGTCTGCTGAGAGAGTCTCCCAAAGCACAAACTCTGTAGCTCTAGTGAGATTATCCCCAAGTATCCATATAGAACTTGCACACGAAATAGCAGAGAAACGAACCCATGACCTTCAAAGCCTGCGGCAAACAGCTTGACCACTTTATTGAGGTGAGGATACTCCCACCTTCCTTCTGGTCACAGAGATAAAAGCAGGTGGGTATATATCTGCAGCAGTGAACTTCAAGGGTGAGGAATGCTGAAGAAGAAGACGAAGCAGCTGCTATATGACTGATTGCCTCAGATAGTGCTAGCTTTCACAGGACAACCGTTACCTTTTTTCTTTCCATTTCCCTAGGCATTTACTACTATCTGTGACTTGCTGATTGTGTTCAGCCCTAGTGTGGGAGAAAGTAACCCACTGATGAGACCCATTGTGTATGACGTGGAACCCAAACTCACCGCCCATCTCAGCGATTTTCTCATGACTAAAGTGTTTATTGAGGATGATGATGGTAAGTGTTATGGGTAGGTGTAACAAATTTAACAGATCCACCGTGTCACATCTACGAAGGGCAGTCATCAGCATCATGTAGTAGGTCCTCTACAGAACATCACTCTCATCACGGTCTGCCTGAAAGAATAGGTGCCTACTTGCATGCCTGTCACTTATATCTTTCGCCCATCTCCGTGCTGGTCAGCCTCTGGACCTCCTACCAAGTACCGTACTTCCTGCTGTTATTTGTTTTGTTCCAGTCTGGCTTCCGAGACAAAGTGCTGTTCATTAGCCAATCTTCCTTGATATTTAGATTTTGTAGGATATAATTTCTCTTTTCTTTGTCCTTGGTATTCTGAGAATCTTTCTATGCCATTTCAGCTCTAAAACCCAGATTTTCTTCCTTAAGGAATGTGAGATAGTCTATGACTCACACCCGTATGTTGCTACAAGGAAGATGCATGCTTTTAAAATCCAGACTTTTTTTTTCTTGCTGTTGCCTAATCATAGACTTTTTAAAGCTAGTTAATCTTTGTATTGCCATGGCCATCCTCCTTTTGACTTATGTTTAGTAGTCTCCATTGCTGTTTATTATGGGGCCCAGATTTTCAGAGTTTGTGACATTTTCAATTTCTTCACCATTTATTGTTAGTTTTGGATGACAGGCATTTTTCTTTCGATGGAAATATTTAGTTTTCTTTAAATTCAAGAACAGGTTTTAATCTTCACTGTGCTTTTGGACAGACAGGATTAAACATTCCATTCCCATTACACTGTTTGCAAGGAGGGTCACGCCTTATCTGCATAGCGTTGTTCTCAAAAAGGTTTGCCACCAATTATTAGCGATTCATAATTGTTTCAAGTCTGGCCAATTCTTTTACATTTCTCATTATGTTTTCTATATATATATTGAATATGTATGGTGATGTAGCCCTCCCTGACTCCCTTCTGCACCTTGAACCAATCCGATGTTTCTCTAACATCTATGATGGCTGCTTGTTGTTCATGATATAAACTTTCAATGTACCAAATGCGCTGGAAACCCCATACTTTTCATGATACTTCACAATTTCTAATGTTGGATAGCTGTTTTGATTTCTCTCATGTAGTTCCTATATACATGGCTGTTTGTTTCTGCCCCTGTTTGTTTTAAATTTCTTCTTTCTTCTGTTAGATTAAGTATTTCTTCTGTGATGTAAGTTTGCTTCTTGTATCTGGTTTTAGGAATCATGTTTTGAGCTGTTGAGATGATGACATTTCTTACTTCAGTGGCTAACTCATCAGGTGTCATGTCCTCCTGCACTGTCATGAGTGCCTTGAGTTCGTTTTTAACCTCAGTGTTGTATTTGCTTGTTATTTTACTTCAATCAAAACGTATTGGCTGTGTTTCTTTCAACACATACAAAACAGCTTTGCTTGTTTTATTACTGAAATCTAAACGAATTGGCTGTGTTCCTTTCAACACACAAATGTCAGTAGAGTATAGTTTTCCTGTGTTTAGTTAAAGATAGAAACTGACGGACATATAAAATAATGTCGTCGTGAGGTTTGTTGAGGGCACATGATGTTGAGACACACAATACATCATGAATGTTTTATTTCTGTAGCAAGAGGCAAAGTAGCTGAACGACATGTAGTGGTGGACCAGGGATCCTACTGGTCAACACCCATCTACACTTCTCTCATTCTAAAAACAGGCCCCCACCTGGAAGCCTCTCCAACACATCTAGGATCCACGTTTTCTTTGAAGTCATAACAAACAAACAGGCAGTATGCACACAAAACATATCACATCTGTAAAACAGGTGTGCACACAACACAAGTTCTAGAACAAGACTGCAGTCTACAAGTTGATGAACAGCCAGAGCTTTTCCCTGAAGTTTACAGTGTGAAGAAGAAGTATACAACGTAAATCTCTTTAGCAAGAAATGCTACCCAAATGTGTCAAAAACAATTTCTCATTCATTCTGCCCGCGACATACAAATGTTCACCCAATCAGCTTGATTCTCTCACTCTAACAGAAGACATGGATGAAAATGTGAAGATTGAAGAGCTACACAAGCGAAGAAACTTCCTGGCAAGTTTCTGTAAGCTGGTTATCTACAATGTCATACACATTAAAGCTGCAGCAACCATGTTCAAATATTATATGAAGGTATTTGGATTAGTTCAGTTTCATGTATTTAATTAAATCCCTGTGTGGGTTCAGGGCACCCCATTTGGGATGGGGGGGGGGGGGGGGGGGGGAGACAAGACTAGACCCACTGCCTCACCAGAAGCTTGTCATAAATGTTGACTAATTGGAAACTTCCTTCGAAGTCAGAGTGCATTAGCCTGAGAGGTAGGGAACCAACAACCTGCATCCAAACGAGTCAGATCTGTAAAACTGATGTGTGTGCAACGCTCAGGTTCTGTAACAGGACTAGTGCCCAGAAATGGACAAACAACCAGAATTTTCCTCCAGAGTACAGCTGGTGAACACAGAGAGGAAGATATGTTTAATTGTGGCACATTTGTGAATATTGTTCATCACTTCACTTATACACACAATGAATTTGATGCTCTGCCATTGTTACCACATTATAACCTTGCTAACACAATTCCAAGGAATTGGAAACTAGTTTCATGCGAAAAATGTCACATGTTAACCGTGGAGTGGTAATAGTAATACATCTCTGCTAGGCCCACAGTTTTGTTTATGTTATCCAAGTGTTGCTCGTGTTAACGAGGGTTTACTATATTTTACTAAACAAAATTGTATCCTACTGTTTTCATTTGTAATTTTTGAGCCATTCTGGCTCGAGGGACCCTAGCAAGTGGCCCGTAGAACATAGCCAGTTGTTTTGTAATGATAATCTTTCTATGCTGGGGGTTGAGCCTCTGACCCCTGATGACCCCCATTCTCAGCAGTTTGGCCCCTGAGTAAACTTAGTTGAATAGCCCTGTGCTTTGGCAACAGTGGTCCTGAAAGCTCGGGTTCTAATTTTGGAAGACTTTTCTGAATGCAGGCAGGTCTTGCTGGTCCCACTCACCATGGCCATGGGCTGTGATCCCCAAGCCTCTCTGTGGCACAGGGAATCACTGTCGTCTAGAAAGATGGACAGCAACAACTAACATGTTGTTTAGAATGTACTCGGAAAGGTTAACCTGGTGAAGAAATGCCCAATGAGGTTGCCTGTGTTGACTGAAAGGGTTGTGAAAGGGTTGAATGTCAGGCACAACGCAATATGCACTTGGACGAACCATGAAGAAGTAGAAGAAGAAGATTTTTCAAGAGGTTTTTGTTCAATCTGTAGAATATTGTTTATTATGTTTGTAGAAGTTTCTTTTTCATCATATCTGGGGAAACGATAATTAAGTGTATTAGAAACTTCACTGTATAGAATGAGTTAGGGAACTTTAAGTGTGTGGTTGCAGTCATGACACTTGACTTGCTTCAAATTGATTATTTCCCGTGTGGGTTTTGGGATCCCATTATATAGACCTCCTGCTCCTTTTCAAGAATGTTGAAAAAGGCTACTAAAATGGATTGCCTGATCTGTTGGGCTGAAAGGTACAGTTATCATAGCCTAGTTGTAAACCACAACATAATAAATGCTATTTGAATTGTGAACGCAGGAGAGGAAGAAGATTAAAGTGTAATAAAATATTGCACATTTCCCCTACATTTTTTCTGTTTCATATTTTAACTTTTAAACATTTGTTTTGCAGTTCTATAATGATTATGGTGACATAATCAAGTTCACGCTGAGTAAAGCTAGAGAGATCAACAAGGTGACAACATCCAAGACCCTGGCCATCAGTCTACAACAGGTATACAACATTTCATTTGTTGGTAATTTTCATGACGGGGGAAGGTAAGGAGATAATTCATCATGAGAGGAAACAAGATAATTCATAAAGCATCAACACTAAAGACTTTGCTGGACATTCGGTTTGCTGATTGTGTGTGGTGCTTAGTTACAGACACACTTAAGTGTAGCTAGAGAGATGAAAGTAACACAGGCTAAGATGTGAAACCTCATTCTGCTTGTAGTGTTCATTTGACTTGTAAAGTTGCCTGAGATAGGATTTTGTAATATTTGCTGTTGAAGATAGTTTAGGAATATGAATAAAATGTGTTGCTTTTTCCAGTTTCTTTATTCCACAATGTGTTGTTTATCCCTTAATTTGCTGTTAATTGTCCAACCCAGTGGGACTACAGGTTACTTTATGATCAATGCATGCCCAACTGTGCATGTGTTATACTGTTTACTTCTTATCTGCATTGACATCTTAGCACATGGGTCTTACCACTTCATGCTCTGTCCTCCCATGCAGCAGCCTTCTGTCTTAATGCTCAGTCTACCTAGTAGGAGTCGATTGGCAAATCTTCTATCTTTGCCCCTTCGATTGGCAAATCTTCTATCTTTGTCCCTGCACCAGGGGTCTGCATGATTGGTCTAGTTTAATACTCATTCCCAACAGGGGGCTCATTGTCTCTCAGTCATTTACTCAAGATCATAGAAACATTTTTAGAATATCAGTAGAAAGGAAAAAAGCAACAGCTCTAATCAAAGTATATGTTGCAGCTGGAGTAGCAACACTGAAAACTGTTCATGTACTTAGATGGTTTTAACTTCAGTTTTCTTTAACCCACATTTAGTTTTACAACCCATAATTTGTTGTTCCTCCCACAGCTGTTCAAAGAGCTTCAGGCAGAACAAAGTGAGGTGGATCGTTCATCCGATGCCTTCCAGTCCATCAAGGTAGGTTATATCTGTTAGCATAGTTAATGAGAAAATTGTCTGCGGGTGTGTTGACAATGGCTTGTTAGTGAATCAAGAGTATAGTAAGTCTTTGACTTTCACTGCATGTCTTAACCCTTTTGCTCCAAAAAGCTGCCACACCGACACTTCCCTTTGGGTTCAGTGCCTCATAAGTGTCGCTTTTCCTTCTCGTCTGTAATGACCGGTTTACGAGACGCACAGTTAGCACTATTGGTTGTAATCAGACCTGTGCCGATGTTTAGGAGGTCAGGGTACACATACATAATTCTCCAGCCAGTGGCTTTTACAAAGACTGTTGACGTCAGATTTTGCCATAAGCTTCAGTGATAGGGGTCACGGCTTGTGTTCCCTGATACGTTTGTTATATGCTATCCCAGGGAATATGTTTCATTCATGTTTCACTGTATTCATATGATTGATCACCCCCCTTATATACATATATATATGTGTTTGAGTCAGTGTCTGTGGCTTAGGTGTTGCAAACGCGCTTCGTAATGCTGAAGTGCCGGGTTTGATCCCAGGTGCGAACCTTGCCTTGGTTTCGACAGTGGTATCAAGAAGCCGATTGTCCAGAAAGCAGTGGCAAACTACTGGACATAAACTTGCCTAGAAAAACCACTACAGGCATTTTTTTGGGAGATAGTTGTGAGGAAGCAAGGGAGGGTAGCATGAGACTGGCTGCTTTATATCTAAGAAATTTCCAATAAAACATGGTTAGGTTAGTTGTGTATCCTTTACAGGATGTTGCAGAACCAACCCCAGCAGCCCCTGGCTGTTGTGTGGTTTATCTATGCAAATTTACATCCATTAGTTTGCCATTGCTTTCTGGACGGTTCGCCCCCTGATACCACTGTTGAAACCAATGCAAGGCGCATGGCCCCGAGCTGGGATCGAACCCGACATCCCAGCGTTATGAAGCATTCGCATCGACTTAGCCAACGAGCTGACAAAAAATCATAAACTGTTCAATAAAGAATTTGGAGTTGACTGAAGAAGATAAAAGGCACACAGTTGTAAAGCCTTGCCTGTAGAGTAAAAACTGGCATGTTAATATTAGAAAAAACATATAATGTTGGTTTCAAATGTTTCTATTTGCAGGAACTGTGTCGAAGATTTGCGTTGTCCTTTGGGCTGGATCAGATTAAAAACCGCGAGGCAGTGGCCACTATGCATACGTAAGTCGTTTCTGTTCTTTATCAGCTGTTTAATGCGGTTATCAGTACTCCATATTCATTGAGGCCTTAGTCGTAGTCACATCCATAAGTAAATTTATTACTTTTGAAACCAAAAATACATAATATGGTATATACAAAAGAGTAATTACAAAATTGACAAAATGTTTTATTTTGAAAAGATACCCTTTTTTTAAAGCTACATTTATTTTTTTCTGATCAGAATTTGAACATAACCAACATCCCCATTTATAGCCTTTATTAAGGTTGACAGGGATAATCTTTATTTTAAGAAAGAAAGAAAAAGAGCTTTATATATGTAGCTATGTATGCAAGTATGTTTCTATATATGTGTGTGTGTGTATTATATGTATGTGTGTATATAAGTTGATGTAAGTAGACCACAAGACAGACCGAGAAGAGTGGATTGATAATATACAGGCAGGTCTACAAACACGGAATCAAACCAAATGGAAAGTGAAGGTCTATATTAGAAATGAATGGAGTGGGTGATATCTGCACTAATGTACCCCAAGGGCTCTGAATGCTAAAGAAAGAAATTATGTTCATAGAGGAGCAGGTGAGCAAACCATGTAAGGTTTAATCCTACAGGCCGAGCTTGTAATCCTTGAAGACCCCTCACTTCACTCCATATACCTCTCAGTATATGAATCCCAGGGATTATTCTTTGTGTTGGCTGCTCCTTAGCAAGCATGTCCTAAAAGGTGACCTGGTAGGGTACATGTTATAGAAGTTGGCTAATTAGGGATGTTTCCTTCCAAGTCTGCATGCATCTGCCTGAGAGGTCAAGAACCAACAGTCTGCATACAAATAAGCCAAATCTGTAAAATGGTTGTGCATGCAAAACTTAAGTTCTGGATCAAGATCAAAGACCAGGAGTGGACGAACAACCAAAATGCACAGATATCGCAGCCTAGCTATTAACCACAAGTGCCAGCCACCCTTTTAAGTGAAAATGCAGATCACCATATATCACGATATATGACATGATTATTTTGACCTTTCGTTAAGGATGTAGTGCTTGTTAGTTAAAATTATTTTTATTGACTTTTTTCTTCAGTGAGGGAATTCAGTTCAGTTTGAGCCCGTTTGAAAACCCAGACAAAGGCCCCAATGCTGCTCCTCCCAACTTAGCCTTCCTAGAAGTCCTGTGTGAGTTCACCAACAAGCTCATGAAGCAGGACAAGAGGACAGTGTAAGTGTGGACTAATTTGTGCCAGAAGTTTTTTCCATTAGAAAGGCATCAGAGTTTAAATATTTGGGAACAACATTCACCAAAGATAGGAAATTGAATTAAGAAACATCCCACGCAGTAAAGGAAATAAGTAGTGGGACAGCTAGCTCCCCTCTTACAGCATAAGACAATCTCAGTCAGCACAAAGAAACAAAACGTCTTATACAAAGCATATTCATTCCTACCCTATGCTACTAGTGCCAGACATGGACACTTACAACAAACCAGAAAAGACAGTGAGGTGTCTGAGAAGGTGACCAGGAGAGAGTGGGGTCTGGTAGAAAAATCTAGCACAGAATGAATTCTGAATTACAAAGACAGTAAATCATTGAATTGCTCCCTTAGAGAGAATACCTTGTGATGCCCTGCTACACAGCCCTTAGAAGCTGATGTATTTTATGTTGAGTCAAGAATCGAAGCCCCTGTGGACATATCCCGAGTACTGTGATGATTAAGCGACTCATAGCGTGCTAAACTATTGCTATCCCTCTATCTGTGTGTGTTTTGTCTGTGTGTGTGTGTGTTGATGTTGGTCACCTCATTGTACACATCAGCACCTCCACATGTGCTCAAGTCTCCTGTCCTAGATCACAGAGTTAAACCTCAACACAGCACACAAACTTCTCTATGTGGGTTCTGGGGCCCTTTTAACTCTTTCAGGCCCATGAATTTTGACAGACTTTGCCCAAATTTATTTCCCTTTCCAAAAATGGCAGAGGGGTGGGTGCACAAGAAAGGCTATAGAGATTATAAAATACTTCTAATCCCTATAAAAGTATATATTTTTTAAAAGAGAAATGAATGTACATTTTGAATCTGATGATAAGTGTTTGTTTACTTTTGTTATAGTTAGTGGGAAAGAAACATTCAGCAGGTGTTAATTTCACAGGGACAACATTTAACAAAAAATTCTTCACTTACCATGATGTTGCAGCCACATGAGTAGTAAAAATCCAAATTTGAGAACAAAACTTTAAAGTTTGTTCAATTTCCTAACATTTTCTAACATTATAATAACTTTCTGAGTAAGTTTAGCACTTAGGAGCTCTTAGTTCTCACAGAGCGCTAAGCAAAATTTCAGCGACCTGTACTTGTAGTTATAACATTGGTATTCATGGCACTCAAAAACAAACTTAGAAAATAAACTGCCAAAAAAAAATTTCGCTGTGTTTTCTCTCAAATTATCTACGTGTTTTTTAGTCCAGGAAATGAAACTAAAAGGATTTCGGCAGAGTGACTTTTCCTGAATAGTTTAATCATACCTCCAAACATTTGAAACTAGTACGAAGCCGCGTCGAAGCAAAAATGTAAGGTACGCACGATTGACGATGACACTGTTGTTTGGGCAAAACGGAACCCTCTCTAACTACGCTCACACCGTTGTTTGGGCCTCAAAGAGTTAAAGGGAAAAAAATAGACCCACTGCCTACCCTAAAGCTTGTCGTAAGAGTCGACTAATTGAGAGTTTCTTTTGAAGTCGGAGTGCATCTGCCTGAGAAGCAAGGAACCAGCAGTCTGCACACAAATGAGTCAGATCTGTAAATCGGATGCACACGCAACACTCGGGTTCTGGAACAGAACTGCAGTCCAAAAGTGTATGAACAACCAGAACTTTCCACCAGAGTTTACAGCTGGTAAACAAGAAGAAGAAGTAGCACACAAACTAGCACTCTAGGATCCAGAAATTACTATAGATATTCAGCTGTAAAACATGTTTGCACACAAAACTCAGGTCATAGAACTAGGTCAAAGTTTAGAAGTGGATGAACAACCACTATTTTCTGCCAGTGTTTTAAGTCTGTGAATGTAAGAAAGGGAAGTTAGAAGACTTTTCATATTTTTTTTAATTATTATTTAAAACTAGCTTCAATTCTATTGCCAACCTTCTCTGTTCCATTTGCTTGTAGAAAAAACTAAATCTGGGACAAACCCTGTCCGTCTCATAGGTGGTCTCTATATAATTAGCTCATGCTGGCTTTTTCTAAAAATCCCAGTTATGGTTCTGTGTGTTGTCTGAATTTGTATATTTGGTCAAAGCATGCTAAAGAAATCTGGCTTCCCCACAGGCCATGTATTTAGTATTTTTAAAAAAAAAAGTAAAGCACTTGTGGTTGTTTTTCCTAGTGAATTGCCTCCAGCTGTGAAGGTTGTGGGTTCAGTTTCAAACTCATTCCTTTGGTTAATGGGTGCAGGTATTTGGGACATCCCTGAGAAGGTATGGTGTTCCATGTCTGGTGTAATGAGTGGCCAGCTGCTGTCTAGTGACTGAGCCCTATGGGAGCAAACCCAGTGCCTTTCTCCTTGTGCTGCCTTTAATCCCTCAGTGGAGCATAGGCTGTCAACCAGCTCACGCCAAGTCGTCCTGTCCTTTGCTATTGCATGCAGCTTACCGCTGTCACCCCCATCTTTTTAAATGCATTCTCTAGCTGTCTTCTGTGTGTGTTTTTTGGTCCACCTTTATGACCCTGCGGGTTTCCAGTGTAAAGACATTTTAGTTATGTTCTCAGGTTTTCACAGTGTATGTTTTATCCAACACAGTTGTTTTTTTCATCCCCTCTTGGTTCATTGTAATATGTTTTGGTCCCGTCCATAAGCTCAACATGAATATTTCTGTCATGCCATTTAACTCCCTCTGTTTTGTCCAGGCACCAGTTAATGAATGTTTGTAGTTCATTAATTTTTTATTATTGGGGGGGGGGGGGTTCAGTGGTCTCGAGTGCTGGAGGTCCCGGGTTCGAGCCCCGGTGAGGCCTGGGATTTTTTCACGTGGACTTCTAGTAATTTACCCTAGTCTCTGGGTAGTAAAATCGGGGTACCCCGCGTGTATTCATGCGCACGTAAAAAAAAAAACAATCCCTTGGAAATCAAAAAGATTAGCCTAACGGCGCTGCCCGGGGAACATTTTGACTTAAAAATTTACCCAAAGCATTTCAAGATCCTTGCCGGTGCAACGGAGTTCGTGAATGCACGGCCCTGAGATTCTTCAGACTCAAGCTTGAGTTAGAAGTAGAGCGGAACACTTAATGGTTACACCTGTGTGCCATGATGATCCGTCGAATAAACAAGTTTATTCGTAGATGTTCTCCACATTTCTGCTTCATACAGCACTACTGATTTGACATTAGAGATACATTTTTAAAAATTCCACACTAGTTTTCAGTTCCTTTCACATTCAAACAGTTTCTGTATAGTATCTCGCTTGACCCTCATTTATATTGTTTGTTTCACGAGCAGTGTCAATTACCTGGATAAGCAGGTCGAAGGTCGCATTCCCCAGAATCGCGGTGATGACTGGCAGCCATTCTTCACCTACAGGAACAGTTTAATGCAGGGAGAGGCTGACTGGAACCCCATCACCCTGAAACAGGCGGCACAGAAACGCTATGCCAAGAAGGCTCGCCATGACAGTATGTTGTTTCATTGTTTATATTCTTCCTGTTTCCATGTGTGGGGTCTGGGCCCCATTGTGAGAAAAGAGAATAGAACCCATTCCGCTCACTTCCACACTTTTTCTCCAACAAGCATGTCATGACTAACCAGGGGTGCTTCCTTGGAACAATGCGGAACCGTCTGCACATAAATAAGTCAGGTCTGTAAAATGGATGTGCACTGAAAGCTCAAGTTCTGGGAAAAGTCCAAAGTCCAGAAGTGGACCAGCAACCAGAATTGTTTGCCAGAGTTTACATCCCATGAATGCTACAAAGAAGAAGAAGATTCTTCCTGTTGTACATTCATTGACTAAAAAAGATTTATTTTCCACATGATTAATTGTGTCCATATGTTATGGTTTATCTAGATGTGTGAACTTTAAAAAAAATGTCTATAGTGTTGTGGCTGACGGTGTCCAGTAGGATTGCTGTATTTGCTGTTGTTGCACTTTCTGCCTGAAGGGTCATCAGTATAGCTGGTTTTTTAATGATACAACCAATTGAATTGCATTCCCCTTAGATAGCATTCAGGGCGTAAGTAACATGTGGGTAGTTATATCTTGTGAGAGAGGAGACTACCACAACTTTTGATTGCTGTGCAGAGAGAGACTAAGCCATCCTGGAATAAAACCCAGCACAGTGGAGTTGATCATCTTCTTCTCTTTCAACACATTGCTTTCTAAATGAGATTTAACTTTGAAAGTTCACCAATGACATTTGTTGAATTTTATACATTTTAAAATTTTATTTTAGAACCCAGTAATATATTGGATAAAGTCAGGCCTGCTGACACGACCAACCTGTGAGGGATTTCTGTAGAATTCACTCTATACTTACCTTTGGTTGCTATGGCCAGTCCGGTACTGGACAGAAGCGATGCTGTCAGTGCCATGCGCAGCACTTACCACAAAGATGACCTCATATCCCTGTCTAGGCCAATGGACATATGGGTGTGACCTGAAGCTGCATGAACTAATAAACATTTTACCAAGGAAATAAGACATTTGATTAACCAACACAGAATAGGCATCATCAGTCGTTTCACACTTGTGGAGCTTTTGAGGAGGAGATCGGAGCACCTATGGATGTGTTGGAGCTGTGATGAGAATCCTTAGTAATCGCTATTTTCAGAGGTCCAGAGAATTTGCTAGACAATCACATTAGTTCTTCTTCTTATTGTTATTGGGCAAGGGGGGCGGGGGGGGGGGGGGGGGGGGGTCAGATTGGCAGATATAAAACTAAACCCCTGGCAGGGGCAACACCTGTAGATACGGGAACATAGAGAACACCGCACACATAAGTCTTCGCCAGGTCGCTCGAAACTGTCCAGTAAGTTAACCCGGTCAACAAATGCTGGTTGAAGTCAATTATATCGGCTTTAAGGCACAAATTTTGCAGATTTGCTGAAAACAGGCGCACTGCAAACTCGGGCGCACAAAAAGAAGAAGAAGAAACTAAACCAACTTCATTTTCCCCTTTATAGATAGAAAATATGCTAAGACATTCACAGGCACTGTGAATTTTTTGTGCCAAACTGGCTGATGTAAAACACAACAAACTTAATTTTAAATTCGTTTTCTAGCCTCATCTGACACCAGCTATGAACCACAGACCCCTGGCCCAATGAGCGCCCTGCCCATGACCTCAACCGCCATCAAGCGAGGACACCACCACGAACCCGATGATGACTCCAACATGGGGTCCGAACAGGACTTTGATGATTCGTAAGGGAACCTGTTTTATGGAAGCACTTTTTTGTCGGTTTATGTTTTTTATTTACGTTAATATATACTTGGTTTTTCTTTGTACATAAACTTTTTGTTCCACATTGGCCTCGTTTGTTTCTTTGTACATAGACATTTCATTTCATGTTGGCTTTATTTATTTCTTTATTGTTTATTGTTTCTTACCTTTTGGTGCACACTAGAAATAGTTGATTCCTTATTTTGAAGTACTTACCAGTTAAGTAAGTAAGTTGTTATCACTTCTGTAAAGGTTTAGGATGGTAAGTAGATAAATAATTGCAGTGCATCAGGCAGCAGACTAGGAACTGGTGATAGATCAAGGGTTTTCCTGGCTGGTCATCTTGAAAAGTATGCAGAAAAGGATGTACTTTATAATGATGAGGAAGCAGAAACATGTCACATGATCCAATGTGACCAGTCAATAAATGTCTCGTTATCCTTCGATAGATTTGGGGTGGTAATTTGATGGAAACTAGTAAAATCTATTTAAAACCTTCTTCATCATAAAGTCTGTGGTGTGGCATTGGTAGTCATGTCTCTCCACAACCTTCTGTCTCATTACTCTTTTTTATCTGTCTAGGGTATTCTCATCATTCATCATTTAAATTCTTTAATGCAATCTTCCATTTGATGTTACCAGTGTGCCCACGTACTTACAGATATCTTCTTGCTTGAGGATTGTCCCATTTAGTCTGATGTTGCATTTTGGAGTGTCCATTTTCTTTGTAATTACCATTACTTCTGTTGTTGAAACTAGGACATTTGTTCTGACTTTTTGTTACAATTAATAAACAATTCATAGTTTGGTACCATCAGCAGGCAGTGAACCGCAGGCTCGGGAGATAACTCTTGACACCACATGGCAGTATTGTTCAGATCTGAGGTGGCCATTTGTCTGCATTGGATTGGAGAACTCTTGCACTCTTCTACTGATAGGTCTGCTGTGTGGTTTTGAGTAGTCATCTCTAACCTTAGCCTTCTGTCTTTTCTACTTTCAGTCATTTCTGACACAGATGATCTTTCATATCTTGATGTCTAGGATAACTCTTCTACTGATAGGTCTGCTGTGTGGTTTTGAGTAGTCATCTCTAACCTTAGCCTTCTGTCTTTTCTACTTTCAGTCATTTCTGACACAGATGATCTTTCATATCTTGATGTCTAGGATAACTCTGACACCACATGACAGTATTGTTCAGATCTGAGGTGGCCATTTGTCTGCATTGGAGAAGTCTTGCACTCTTCTACTGATAGGTCATGCTGTGTGGTGTTGTAGTCATCTCTATCCTCAACCTTCTGTCTTGTCTACTTTCAGTCATTTCTGACACAGATGATCTTCCATATCTTGATGTCTAGCATCTTCTCTCGCTGTCTCCCCCTGCTTCTTGTCCCCTCTAACTTTTCCAACATCTTGATGTGCTCCAGTTCTCTCCTTCTCGTGATGTGACCAGAGGGCCCTCTTCTGATGTGGTTTGGCATTTGCTTTCATAGAATCAGCAAGGTGCTATCTGGCATTCACAGTGAGTCACAGTTTATCTCTTATCTCTTTGTCCCTATCTGTGGTGACTTTAACTCATATCCTGAGTTCTAATTTAAAGTAACTAATGTTTAGGAAATGTCTTGGGAAGAAAATGCAGTCATTGTAATGTTGACTGCATCACCCACTGAGAGCCTGTTGATCTACATAAATATGAGTCAAGTATCATATGCCTAATTCTCCACCGTCATATACAGGGGTGGGGTGGGGGTGGACATCGCTTTATTGCATTTATTTTTCATTTCTTAGTAAACTATAAATTACATATTTTGTAAGAAACATAAACGATTTATCTTCATTTCATAGCCAACAAATACAACCTTTAGAAGTTTAATTATTTACACTTGTTTACGTATAAGTCAGTAGATGTAACTAACTACATTTGTAATAACTGTTTCATGAGCTTTGTTTCAATATGGTATTTGAAGCCATAAAGTAGTTTAAAAACAAAAATCATGTTTTGACTTGGTATGTTTATTGAAACTTATTGAAGTTTATTTTGTACTTGTACAGGTTTATATTGGCTATTTTGGTGTACTGTATTCTTCTGTTACCGATATTTTTTGGGTGTAGCTTTTATCATTGCTATAGTTTGAATGCTTCTTTTTTTGTGGGTTTGCTAATTTTCTGTAGACGAGAAACATTCAAAATTTGCAAACATTCACCGACTACTAATTACACCTGTCAAAAAAAGCAATCAGAATACTAATTACTAAAATAACAGTAAGTTTAACCCGATTTTCTTTCTCTGTAACGATGGTTAAATTCATTAATAGATTGATTCACTACCAAAATAACAATTACATTTAGAACTGCATCATTGTGTTATGATTTTTACTATTAGTGTTTCTTAAAATGGTAAAATAACAGATAAATTCACTAATTTTGAATTACTTTTGGAATGAAAATATCTATGGCTTTAGTGTGATTTACCACATGCAGTTAAATTCAGTTTGTATGCAATTGATATTGAAATAAAATGTATTCGCTTCAGAAAACATTCTAGAGACAACAGTTAATAAATTGTTGATGTTTCCTTAACATTTTGTTTGGTAATACTCAGTAACATATATAGGCATTTAGGCACTTCTAGGCTTAGGCACTTGTAGACGCCTGGACAGACACCTTTTGAAATGTTTATGTGTGAACACACACACACACACACACAAAGCATCACAGTCTTTTTCTCCTGAATGTTTTATGTGCTATAGACTGTTGTTATATCGTCAGTGTCGGGGTTCAATAACAATGAGTCATCATCATCATCATGTAACAGGTCTTTTACAGAAGTTCACTCTCTTCACAGCACAGCTCAAATAAACTTGGTCCTCTCCTGCCTCATGCACTTTCCCTATGTCTGTTAGGTCATGTGACCATCTTCACACTGGTCAGTCCCTGACCTGGTACCATGCCACCCTCCTTCCCCCATTCCCTCTATTATTGTTCTTGCCAGTTAAACTATGTAATTTCAAATGGCCACAGTATTTCCCTTTCCAAGACACAAGGCTGTTTTATGAGTCGATTTTCCTTGATCCTTTAATATGTCAGTGAGTAGATGGATTGAAAAATAGAAGCATAGATGGTCAGCAGATGGTGGAAATGAGGTGTCTGAGAAAAGCAGTAGGAGTGACCAGAAGAGATCATATCAGGAATGAGATCATACGAGATAAAGTCAGCACAGAACCAATTCTAAATTACATAGAAAGACAGCAAATCAAATGGTTTGCCCACTTGGAGAGAATGCCTTTTGATGCTTTACCATTCAAGGCATATACCAAAATAGGAGAGAGACGTAGAGCAAGAGGTAGACCAAGAAGGATATGGAAAGATAACAGAGAAATTCTATAGGACCACGATGTGTCTTTATCGAAGCAGCCAGAAAAGCACAAAGCAGGACACCAAAAGAGGTTACAGAGAAGAGGAAGATGGTCAGCTTTAGAATGCACTCAGTTTAGGATGTATATAGCTGTTGAGGTTCTCTTTCTTGTCTGATTGACAGATAAAGACTGCATAGAATATTCTTCATTTTGTAACACTACAGCTTTTTGCAGCATTTACTTGATTGGCATGGACAGGTCATCGTTCTAGGCCTCAGGACAGGACCTAACAAACTGACCAGGCATATGCACAAGCTTTGGCTGAGTAGTTCACCATTGTGCCTGTGTGGTAACTGCAGAACATCTGCTGCAAGAATGTAAAACCTATTAACAAGAGAATACTGGCCCAGTGAGTGAGTTGATACTAAAATACTCCTACACAGAGCTCATTGAACTCGGAACTAAAAAGAGCGATCACAAGAACTCCTATCAAATCAGATCCAAGAACTCGTCTATCTTGTGTAAATCAGAGAGCGATCACAAGAACTCGTCTGTCTTGTGTAAATCAGAGAGCGATCACAAGAAGAAGAAGCAGCTTTTAAATGGCAATGACAGGTGAGGGATCCGTTCCTGTGACCTACTTTCTAAAGCAACATGTGCCCCAGAGGTGGCCATATATTCCAGCACATGCTTAATTCCGAGAGCTAAATTGACCTCTTCTTCTGCGTCCACCTTTGAAGGGGGGTTGGCATGTTGTCTTGTAGTTCACAGCTAGGCTGCAGCATTCAGACAATTCCTTCAACACATTTAGTCTCGGCATACCCCCTAAATGGTCTCTTTCTATGCCAGAAAATTAGGAAAGCAGTGGGTCTGTCCTTTTTGTGCCCCCCTCCTCTCTGTCTTTCACACACACACACACATGCTTTGGACATGCAAACACATAGGCAATCACACAACTGTATTAGCACATTCGTACTATTCATATCAGATTAAAAAATTTACAACCCATCTAGTGTTTTTTTTTTTTAGACTGCTGTCGGTGACAGTGGCATTTATTTTCTATGTCAGTATTTCTTACATTAAATTCCAAATTTAGATTTTTATATGGTTTCTATTTCATATTATTTTTCTGTTTTGTATATGGGTTCTCTTGTTCTTGTTTTTGTTTCTTTTTCTTGTTTGTTTAAATTTTCTTTATGGTTGGTGTTTCTGTTGTATTTACTTATTAAATGTGTGTCTATGTGCCTTGAATGCAGGGAACCTGCGCAAGATACCTGCACTCCTGCCAGTTTTCTTAGCGTCTGAAACATTTTTTTAGTTGTGGGCCAAGCCCCCTCACCGTCCTTCCGATTCTAGAAAATTTGCACTGGGGCTAAGTGCCATCTCAACATGTATAGAAGTTTTCTTATTGAGTATATGTTTTTGCATTTCATAATATTACAGACATGTTATTAAATTTATTTGCCTCTCTGCAGATAATGATAATTGTTCTTGCCTCTTGAGCCTAAACAAATGTTCAATGGGGTGGAAGTCTCCAATCCCAGTTTGTGTGTGTGTGTTGGTGCTACTGATTGTTTATATAAATGTAATGTGTTTCTTTTGTTATGCTTTCTTTTGATTGTTCGTAG